CGAGAGGCGAAGAGCGCCTTTGCGGTCGAGAGCCGAGACCACTTTCGAGTGGTCCCATTTCAACGAGCCAGTCTGGTTGACTAGCGAAGCGGCTTGCTCACGCAGTTGAGCGATGTCTCGACGAGCTACAGCCAGCTCATCACGAAGAGAACGAGTCGAAAGTTCGATCTCAAGTTGCGCGAATGCAAAAGCGGCACTTTTGTCTGAATGATCGTGCGTTAGGGAATTGTAATTATCCCTTATAAAATCCTCAAGGTCAAAACGCCGAGTCTTTTTATAAGCCAGGTCATCTTGTAACCGTTCCGTTATACGGGTCAGCTCTTGAACATCAACTTGATCCGACCCTCGAGCCGGATCAGGTGTTCTCAACGCCACCACATCCTTTGGTGGACTCAAGCGGCGGTCAGCGCTTCTTAGTGAGCGTATGTTGAACCACCGCGATGTGAATGGCGTCCGGACGAGTTACTTCGTCCGCTGGCGTGGCTAGCCATCGGCGTGGGACAGCTGGGAGCCTCGTGCCCAGCTGTTTGTTGATGTCCTTGGTCTCGTCGAGCAGTACGACGAGACCCACCTGCTGCGTTTAAAGAAGGGCCTTCGGAAAACGACCTCCCCGAACGCGAGTACAGGGATTGCAAAATGTCAGTCTTTTCCAGCTCAGAATCTTGGCGTGGTGCTTGCTCTAAAAAGCTGGAGTTCATATTTAATGAGTCTGGAAAGTCCATCCGGTAGACTTCTCCCATGAGCGAAATACCGTACGCGTACTGACCGTGAATGGCAATGACATCCGAGGTATTTGGGATGTTAAAATGAGAAGTCACAGCGTGGTTTTCTCCAAAAGATCCAATGTAACCGGGTTATGCTGCACACTCGTCGTTGCTCTTCCCAGTTGAGGAAGCGGAATGACAAAACAATGTGCCAACATGTGACCAGGTGGATGACCAAGGGGATCAAAAAGGACCACAACCAGAACAATCACCAGTAGCTATTAACGCGATCACCACACGCGATAAGGGTTGTGATTCCAATACCAGTTTATAGGTGGATCGACACACAAAAGGCGGGGCAGTCTTTAACCTTACAGCGTTGTTTCCAACAATTAAGTTGGGTTTTTTTCCTCACCTTACTACCCCACATATATAAGGATTGATGCACCCCCGATCACCTTGAGGCTCGTTCTACGTGTTAGAATATTAATAAGGGTTAAAGTATAGATGACTATTTTTATTGCGCGCCCTCCAGTAGGGATCATTAGGGAGTTAGGCCTCCCCAGGGGCACGGTTCGAGTTGTCCAGGCAACCTGGACACGAATCACCCCACGAGAGACAGGGTAATCCTGCCTCTCTTGAAAGCCGGTGCAACTTATGTCGCGCCCCGACTGGGTTGCGTTTTATAAACCTGATGCTAGCTGCATCGAGTTTGGCGAGCCAAGCCTCACGGCCAATACACTCGATGTTGTGGATGAGGGCATTCCATCCCTGCACCAAGGCTTTTCCGTCTCGTACACGGCTACCATTGTACCACCGATGTTTATAGAACGCATTGGTGAAGAACTCTTCCTCAGCACGATTGGTTATCGTGCTGGAATCAGGTGGTCAAATCTTCCTGCAATCGAACAACGGAATTTGATCCCTTTCGGTAGTCGTGCCGGCCAAGCCGGTCCAACTCTATGGATGGCGGCATCCACGGTGACTCCACTTGAGGAGCGTGGCGCAGGACATTTCGGTCCTTGGCCTCTTGATCGGTGTCAGCATTAACACTGGCACCAGTGTTACCCCGATCCCTTGAGTTACTTCGCTCGTGGTGATGAATAGGTGCATCACCACCATCTCCACGCGTCCTATCGTTGGATGGACTTGCGTGAGGTGGAAACTCATCAGAGTAATCACTCGATCCGAAGATCTCGGTCATGATACTGATGCGCTAACCAGAGTTAGTCAGCCTGGCTTTTGCAGTGTCCGCCCCGGGTGATTCCGAGGCGTGAGGAGTCGCCTTCGAGTCGGATGCATCATCCTACTCGCCGGAATAGATGAGCTTTATCTCAGACTCGTCTTGATTACGATTCGAGGTACCCGCTGCAGACGAAACGGATGTACCTGTCGCACGTGGTGACTCACCACGTGGAGGATTCACGACAACAGGCGACGAATCGCCTACTGCTGAGGCGTGAGAGGCACTTTCCGCGGCCGCACGCATGCGTGCAGCCTTGCTGCTGCAGTAGCAGCTCGCGTGGCTTTGGAAACCATGCGTTGAGTTGACAAATGAATGGAATTTGACTAACAAGTGCTCCCTCTTTCAAAGTGATCCAACGGTGGTCACCTTGTCCCAATAAATTCTAATTCAATTAACAGGTGATTGATGGTTAAGGGGGGGGGTGATGTATCGGGGTAGCCCATTACATGAAATTGACACCAAACGGTGTCAGTTGGAATATTGTCAAGTATGACAATATTCTACCGATATTATCCCAGACGGGTAGGATTGAAGGAATGCTATCCTCCTTTGGTAACATTCATGCGCTGCTCCAAGATTGGTTGATATAAGACACATTAACCATAGAGTGCCACCAATTGCTGCTGGACGCGCGCAATGAGTGGTGAGCAGGTTGTCGTCATACGACGATGTAGTTTAGAATAATTATATAAAGACTGGAGTTATATTGATAGCTTAACTATATTAAATACAGTTCTCTTTTTACCTTTACTTGACCGAGTCGTTCAAGTATTTTAGCTTCCTCTGCACTTACTAGTGTACATGAAGTTTCGCGGCACCCCAAACAAAGGGTGCCCAGTTACAGTCATGCCATTGTAAAGTCCTGCAAATTATTTTTTCGGACTTCCTTTGGTTTAAGAAGATAACAATTAAAATATGCCAGTTTCATCCATGTTGTAAACTTCACACAGCGCATACTATAAGATGACCTTCTTTACCTCAGGCGAAGCTTAGTTCATAGACTCCACGTCCACCAAGCCGCTTTCATCGTAGATGTTGATTGCGCGGAGCATGGTAAATTGCTGAAGCTTATGAAGCCATCCATGCGAGAAAACGATGGCGTCGCCAAGATTACCAATCAGATAAGCAAGTTAATGAGCCTTCGCACAGATGGTATACCCGGTGATAATCATTCCGCGGTGTTGTAATCGCAGGACCCAAAGAGACGCATATTCTTCCAGTACTGGATGTTGAATAAGTCACTGTCGATTTAAATTAGGCTGCATGGATCCAGATTCCTCAGATAAGACCGATTTCAAAAGATCTTGCTGATTAATGCCTGTGACAGCGTTTTGACAAAAACCAACTTCACCGTAGCCACTTCAGCCAGTGCCGTTTGAGATAAATTTGGGTCCTTATCTTTGCGTTTGCATATTTGCAGACGTTGTCCGTTGGTTGGACAGATCTGAAATATTTTATACTGCTCAGATCTCACACCTATAGGCAAGACGCGGTTAAAAGATTGAATGTGTGGATTTACCAGTGTAATAATTGTCAGCTCAGACTAAAGAAGCTACGGGTGGGTTCATACCGTTGGGAAGGTAACAAACTAGCTAGGGGCATGAGAATTTTGTTCTGTTCCAGCAGTAAGAGCCTTAAAGATGGATTTCGGCTTGTACTAAAGGGAAGTGGGGAGTTGTCTTCGGTGCCCGGGTCCGCTATTTATCACTCAATTGATCGATTTCCTTATGTACGATACGCAAAAAATATAAAGTGTATGTAACCTCTACTAATTTTTAGTGATTCTCGTCCTCCGTACCCATGCCTTATCGGAGGGAAGACTGTGTATCTTATTTTATTACATTACCGTAAATTACGTCGGTGACCAGTAGGTACACATTACCACTCTTGATGTTACAGAGTATCGATGTGAAAAAGAAACAGGAGGTTGGTGTTGCAAGTTGATGGGTCGTATCTACTCTCGTGGAGTGGTGCATGTCCTAGTGTTCTATGCTGGAATTATGGGTTCGATTGCGACGTGGGTTTTGCCAACGGTTTCTCGTGACAGCTTTAAATTATTGTCAGGTACATGTACTAGTTCGGATCTTGACATAACTTAGTGTCCGGTGCATCTCGATCCATTCCAGAAAAATCATAGGATAAATCCTTTAGGTCTGGGGCTCATCGCTGGTGGAAGAACGTGTTACCCTATAACTGATTACAGGCGGTCGCTTTGAATAAGCCATATAGGATTGTTACCTGAGAGCATACATTCTCGGTTGACAAGCCACAAAAACGTTTGTGCCACGAGTCACAGAACTACATTGTAAAGAAAATGACATGTTTTTATATGTTAGGTCTCAACAAGACGGAACGTCGCAGGGTTGTGTCAATCATTGCTACCACACTTCATCACCGGTACGGAGTACGCACCCGTCCGCTGGCCTCTTCTCCCCGCGATATAATGAGTCTTATCCTGTAACGGGGCACCCTGAAGCTTGTACTGGTGACAGTACAAGCTACTTATTCTGATGACAGAATAAGGCGGTGCCTCGTAACTTCACGTACACTCGTACGTGCAGAGGAAGACGGTAAGAAGAAGCGAGTACTTGGTTAAAGTAAAAAGTAGAACTGTATTTATCATAGTTAATGTCTGCAATAAATCACTATTTATCCTCATCTAACTATGTCTAAATACAAATGTGTAAATCAACTATCTGCTCACCACTCGTTGCGTGCGTCTGTCGTGGCGCGTCTTTGTTGGTTGATACAATGACCTGTATCAACCAATTAGGAACTACTCGTAAGTGCTACAGAATATTCGTCCTTATGACAATATTCTGAGAATATAACTCTTATAGTAATATTCTCATAGTTATTTTCTATTAACAATGTCTTATAAATTGTTATGTAACGATTCACCCCGTTACATCACCCCCCCTAACCATCAGTCACTTTAGTGACTGATTGACTAAATGGATACTCGTCCCAAATCATTTGGGACAGGGTTTGCACTTGTTGGTCCGAGTCCACTTTCCAACATTTCCTCGCATGGTTAACAAGCCCATGTGATGCGCGAGCAAGGCCGCCGAGAGCGCGTCCGCACGTCTCTGTGCGGATGCCGAAGCAGAAACAACAGCAACTGATGTCTCATCGGTTGCTGAAGCGACTCAGCATGTGTCACTTGGTGATGCAGGCGCTGGTCATGAAGACACTCATGTCTTCACAGAGTATGAGCTCGGTGTCTCGTACTCTCCTGATACGGAAGACGGATCCGTATCGACGGCAATTGAATCCAAGCCGCCTGCCAAGCGTGGCATGGATGATGCCATGCGTCGCAGCATCTTTGGATCATCTGATGAATCAGATGAACCATCGCCAAAGCGAAGGCGCTCGAGGTCGCGAGACTCGGGCGCTAATAGTGGTGTCGGTTCTCCTATGGACACCACTTCGCAAAGAGGTGCCAGTACTTCTATCGACACATCGCAGGAAGAGCGGAACCGCAATGTCTTGCGTCTCGCTCCAGAAGAAGAAGGCATGGATGCCTCCCAAATCTGTCATGGATCACTTGTCGGCGACGACGAGTGATCGTTGTCGAACACGATTGTTCGATTCATCAAGGATCCATCACCTTGACCCCAGCGCGAAGAACTATCGCGCTGAGAATGACTTCTTCATCGATGCTTTCTTTAACCATCGATGGTACAGTGGGAATCACAAGCGTGATGGTCCCTCACTGCTTCAAGCGTGGAACGCCTACATCCATAACCTTGAGGATGTAGGTCGTGACGTTTGGAACTACAAACTTATCAAAGCTCGTGATAAGTTTGAAAAGCGAACCCCGACAGGTGCACGCTACAAGCTGCATCGTCTGTCAAGGGAGAAAGGATTGCCCTGCCTCTTATGGGGAGACTCGTGCCCATGTTGTGTGAACACTTCTGCACGAGCACCTAAGGAGGCTTGCCTCCTTACCAGCCCGTGGTGGCGCGTACGTATCTCTACTGAGATGTACGAAGGGATTGACAACCTGAAATCCCTTTGCGACCGTACCGGGAAGACTTTCTCCGGCGGTCCTTCTGCGGCACAGGATGTGCCGCGTCGTACTGCTCAACCAGACCCAGTACGTCAATCATCAGTTGGGAGCGGGGCTCCCGAGTATCCCAGGACGAGATAACTCGTCCGACGTCCGTTCACGTCGCGGTGGTTTAACAGCTGCTCAACTAGATAGCGCTGGCCACCGCGAGAGGCCTCCAATGGAGGTGGAGGAGGAGGAAAGACGCTCTCCACACGATCATGGGGATCCGTGTGTTCCCGAGAGCTTCTTTGATCGCGTAACGCAAGGGTTGCGCAACGATCTCGAACATGAGCGGGACAGGCGTCTCCAGATGGCGGACACTGTCTCGAAGCACCGAGCTGAGTTTGCCTTTGCTCAGCTTGAGAACGAAAGAGCTCTGACATCTCTGCGTGACGAGCTAAGGGTAGCTCGTGGGATTGTTGATCGGTCTCGGGATGAGATAGCTGCTCTTCAGACCCTTGTTGATGCCCACCATCGGGAGCACAAGGCTCTCTGCGAGATGCTTGAGCGCAAGGGCGTTCTTCATCGGAAGAAGCAGCGTACTGACGGTACGGCTTAAGCCGACCAACGTAAAACGTGGGATGCGTTCGCATCTTACGTGGTAACTCGATCGTGTATGCATTACCTAGGCGGTGCAAGACACGAAAAGGGCCAATGTACTTGGGTAGTAGTTTACTGCTACCCAAGTTAGTCACTACATGCTTTGGTAGATTAGCCGTAGACAGTAGGACTAAGTCACCTTCATTGAATAAAAGAGTGTTTGCCCTTCCATTCTTATCTGCGTTTTGCTTTTGCTTATCAACCGCTTCGGCGATGGAGTCTTGCACAAAACGGACTACCGTTTCACGAGCCAGTATGAACTCATCTGATGACTCGTTAGCTTCAGTGTGCTGTGAGCGCGCTGCAGCAACAACAACCTTTTCTTCAGTGAGGGCTTCCGCACTCTCACTGGGATCATCTTCTTCAGTGAGGGCTTCCGCACTCTCACTGGCATCATCTTCTTCGATATCGATGTTATCGATATCGGCATCAAACGCAATGACCTCATCGTCAGAGCGTGATGATCGTGAACCAAATCGGTTTTTGCTCGCGCGAGTCCCTCCCCCCCTTAAACCAGAGTTACACTCAAGTAAGGTGGGTACACGCGGATGGCGCAAGACATTCGCGTAAAACGGTGTATGTGTCGTGGACGCATGAAGTTGTTAATGGCAAACTCTACCATTGGCAAGAACTCACTCCAACTCTTAAAGGAGTGTACGGATCCTCGAAGTATCTCTTTAAGGACACGATTGGCACGTTCCGTCTGACATCTGACTCTGGATGATCAGATGTAGACATCTTCAAGCGCGTTCCGAGCGATTTGAACACGGAACGCCAGAAATCAGCAGTGAATCGTGGATCTCTGTCTGATACGAGTTCACGGGGCAACCCATGAAGTCGGAAGATGGTGTCGATGAAGACACAAGCACAGCCACTTGCTGTGGTTGACTCTGGTACAGCCACAAGGTGTACCATTTTGCTGAAACTGTCAACAAACACGAGAATACCCGTATTCCCGCGTGCGTCTTTGGGTAAACCGAAGACGAATACATTGAGATAGATTCCCAGCACTCAGCCGGAACCTGTAGAGGCTGTAAAGGTGCACGAAGTGAAGGACTTGACTTCACTCGTTGGCAGACTTCGCATGCGCGAACATACTTTCGCACAAACTGATACTGGCGGGGCCAGTAAAAGTATCGACTTACCGTGAGATATGTTTTCTCTCGGCCACGATGTCCTCCTATAGGAGCATCGTGATACTCGAACATGATCCGCAAACGCAGATCAGTATCATCTGGAATGACGACACGTGGTGTGTCACCAGAAACGGCTGTATAATACAGTAAACCGTTACGAGTAGTGTATCGGTCTGATGCAGATCGATACGCAGAAGACAATCGTTTCAACGATTCTCGAGATGGCTGTGAGAGATGTGTTAACAAATCCACAATCTCACCATCTTGGGCGTATGCCCGCTTCATATCATCATACAACGTTGTAGATGGGACTGAGGACGTCATAACCGCAACAGTGACTGTCTCACTGTTGGGTTTCACGACTGTTTCAAAGTTGGGCCGACGTGAGAGTGCATCAGCGACGACATTAAGTCGTCCTAGTTTGTACTCGACCGTGAAGTTGTATTCTGCAAAGAATGACAACCACCGCGCCATTCGTTGTGAAAGGTGCGGGCTGTTCACTGCCGTGCGTAATGACGCATGGTCAGTGTAAACTATGATGGGTCTATCTCCTAATAGATAGACTCTGAACTTCGCGAGTGCATTCTTCATGGCAAGGAGTTCCTTGTCATGCACTGGATAGTTCCGCTCAGCTGGTTACAGCTGACGCGACTGATAGCAGACGACGCGTTCAACGCCTTCAAGATCGTACTGCATTAATGCACAGCCGATTGCGAAATCGCTGGCATCACAGACCACATGAAATGACCTGTCCTGATCGGCTATTGCTAGGACTGGGGATTGTATCAAGCTCTGCTTGATACTATCAAAGGAGCGCTGACATTCGGCGTTCCATGACCACCTCTCGTTCTTTTTCAATAAACGAGAGAGGTGCACAGTCATCTCGGCGTAATTGCGTGAATACTTATGCAAATACGCCGCTAGCCCAAGGAATTTTCGAAGACCTTTGACATCAACCGGCAAAGGCTAGTCGGTGATCGCCTTGATCTTTTCGGGATCAGGACGTACACCGTTCTTACCAACGATGCACCCAAGAAGTGGTATTTCGCTTGCTGCAAATATACACTTCTTGAGGTTAGCATACAATTGATGCTTTCGCATGATTGTAAGAACTTGTCGAACGTGGTACCTGTGAACCTCAACGTCCGACTTTCCATCCATAGCTCGACTATGGATGAATACGTCATCGAAATAACTCGGCGCGAATTCTCGTACTGGCCTCAACAGATGTGATACACATCTGTTGAACGTGGCAGGGGCATTACTGAGCCCTTGTGGCATTACTAGCCATTCCCAGAGCATGCCGCTAGGCGTGCTAACTGCGGTATAGGGTATATCCCGTTCCCGCATTAGGATTTGATAGAAGCCATCCATCAAATCCATGGACGAAAAGATGGTACTCTTTGACATACCATCAATGATTACGTCCTTCCTCGGTATCGGCGTCTGAGCCGGTACCGTTGCAGCGTTCAATTTGTTGAACGCGTGCACTATCCGCCACCCTCCTGTTGCTTTTCGCACACAGAAGGTCGGAGAGCTATGTGGGGAAGTTGATTCCCTCACATGGCCCGCAGCTAAACGATCGGCAAAGAACTTGTCGATCGCAAGTACTTGTTCACGAGGCAGTGGCCACTGCTTCATGACACAGTACTTCGAGCCTGGTTTAAGCTCGACCTCGTGCCGAATACCTTTATCCTTCGGTAATTCGCACGGAACAGTTTCGGGTAATACATCCTTGAATTCAACCAAATCTTCATAGAGAGGATTTGTCTTGAGCGATTCCAACGATTGGGAGTCATATTCGTTAACTCGTGTCTTTTCATCTAGGACACTCTCGTCCATAGATGAACTACTGAGAACTCTCTCGTTCTCAGTGAACACTGTTGCTGACCTTATTTCGGCTACACACTCGTCGTCAGCGACGAGTATGCAGATCTGCTTGACTTTTCCACTACGCAGATCACGCAAGAACATTTTATGTTCGAGCGTTGGCAACTGAGTGATCTCCGAAGTTAACTTCGGAGGCGCAATCAGATCAAGTGTATAAGCGCCTGCACTTGATCCGTCATTGACTACGACATTCAATGTCTCTGTCATTTCCTGGGGACTTATTCCCTCAGGCTTCGAAGGACTTATTCCTTCGGCTTCCCGGGGACTTATTCCCGCGGGTTTCGGGGAACTTATTTCCGCCGTATTTGTAATATCGGGACTTATTCCCTTTACTTCCTCTAGCTGTGGTTGCGCAACCACAGCGAGATCCTCTACGAAAGACTCTCCAGTCGATCTAGGATTATCGTTTCGCTTAACCTGAGCGATCGATTGTTTCTCTTCTAGATGTTCCCCGCTAGGAATACATCTTTGTCCCAGTCCACCCGACTTATTCGAGTGGTGGACCTTCGGCGCAGCCTGTGTTTCCTCACAGCCGCCGGAACTTTGCTCCGAAGTGTAACCGTTTGGTACACTAAGGTTTTGTGCAGTCGTACTAACGACCGTACCACAAGTGAAGCCATCGCATTCACTCGTAGTACATCCACACGCTTGTGGACGCTCCAAAACGTTCATCAGATGGCCATCTGATGAACAAGCGGCAGGCATCGTTACTGTCCGATGTTGCCAGTTTACCCGTGGTTCGTACCTTCTGAGCCACGGTATTCCAAGGATGACATCAAATTTGTCATCCAAATCCAATACGATAAAGTCATCGTCATATTGGGTATCTTCTAGCGTATAGTGAATCTTCACTATACGCTTCATGACGGTTACGGATGCGCCTGTCGCAAGACGTACCGTCATCCTCGTAGGAGGTGTGTCACATTCACTGAATTTAAAGTGACCATCTTCTAGCGATTGGCGTCGCACAAAATTGTTGGACGCCCCACAATCGACTAGAGCTCGAAGGGACAACTCATTTGTCACTTCGAGTTTCAAGGTAATGAGTGAGACCTCATTACCTAGAGCAGCAACGTACAACGTTTGTGTGTTGGGAGCAACCTTCATCAAGAGGCCTACAAATTCTCTTGACGTTGCTGGACCAGTAGGGTGCTCCGCACCTACTGATCCTGTCCGTTTTTTGACGGTCCATCCCGTTGTTGCGTCTTTGCACCAACTGCGGACCCGCGTCCCTGCCCCTTTCTCATGGGTGGACGTTCACTACGCCCAGTGTCGCGAGACACTGGACGAGGGGCACTACACTCGTAAGCGTAGTGTCCTGTCTTTTGACATCTGTTGCATCTCTGCAACTTCTTGTAGTCTGTAGAGAGAGCCTTCTCGCTCTCTACATAACAGAGTTCCATCGGCTCTGGACCTCCGCTGTCATATCGTCTCGGTTGACGATATGATGTCGAGCTGGCGCGAGCCTGTCTCAGACTGAAGTCTTCCTGCTCCGCAATGGAAATGGCTTGTTCTAGTGAATCTAGTTCAAGCCGGAACAGGTGAGTCTTGACGGGACCATCCGCAAGACCCTGCATGAACACCGAAACCAACGTGTGTTCATCCACCGGATTGGAACTTATACAACTCGTAAGATGTCGTATATGTTGCGCCTAAGCGTGAACATCACGATTACCCTGTTTGAGCTTCAAGAGTTCGGTTCGAGCTCTGAACTCAGCTCCAGGCGGTACAAACGTTTGTCTGAGCCGCGACTTGAAGACTTCCAACGACCCAAACGCATATGGGTCGTGCAACTTGAGCCCCAGTGCCCAAGGCTTGGCACATCCTGCCAGATTTGACTGGGCAAATGCAACTTGCACATCCCCGTTGTCGATGCGACGCGCCCTTATGGCGTCACCCAATTCGACGAACCATCTCAAGAGAGAGTCTTCTTCGACCCCCCTATACTTTGAGATGTCAATCTTCAAAGTCTCGGGTCGACGCGAGTGCATCGACCCGCCAGCAGCAGCCTGCTGCTGTCTCAACAGTTCAAACTGTTGATCACCTTGTTCTCTCAACAACTCTGCTTGTTGAGAACCTTGTTGGTGAAGCAAGGCTACTTTCTCGCGTTCTGCGTCAAGTTCATTTTGAATGAACTTGGCGATAGTAGCATGTTGGGCATCTCTATTGAGAGCCTCTAGCATGACGCTAACAGCATGGATGCCCATGGTTGAACCCATTCGTTCAACCGCATCCCATTCGACATCGCTCAAATGGGAGTAGCCGTCACGCGTAGCGTGAAAGCTTTGGTCATCTTCATCATCCAACATATTCATGTTGGATGTGAACGCGGTCCTTGGACGGACTACGAAGTGCTACCAGGTGTAACGGGGCACCCTGAAGCTTGTACTGGTGACAGTACAAGCTACTTATTCTGATAACAGAATAAGGCGGTGCCTCGTAACTTCACGTACACTCGTACGTGCAGAGGAAGACGGTAAGAAGAAGCGAGTACTTGGTTAGAGTAAAAAGTAGAACTGTATTTATAATAGTTAATGTCTGCAATAAATCACTATTTGTCTTCATCTAACTATGTCTAAATACAAATGTGTAAATCAGTTATCTGCTCACCACTCATTGCGTGCGTCTGTCGTGGCGCGTCTTCGTTGGTTGATATAATGGCCTATATCATCCAATTAGGAACTACTCGTAAGTGCTACAGAATATTCGTCCTTATGACAATATTCTGAGAATATAACTCTTATAGTTATATTCTATTAACAATTTCTTATAAATTGTTATGTAACGATTCACCCCGTTACATATCCAGGGTCTTCGTGCCTGACGAAAGTATTTTTGCTTGTGGAACACCTTGGTTGTTGACAATATTGTGATCCTCTAGAATAACATAGCATTGACGGTCTTTTGATAAGTCCTGACTTGTCGCACTGACCTGTTAGAACTGATAACTCAGAGCTTCTTTCTCGCGTTAAACGATGCGATAAGATGACGACATAGGATCTTAAACTGCAGCCAAGTCTTACATAAGAAAATCGTTGAGGTCGTATTAACTTCTCGCTGCCTCATAGATAAGTGACACGACATGCAAAGGATACGTGGTCTTTACGCTTTCCGAGGTGTACTCTTCTGGTTGCTTCAGCTAGTATAAATTCAGCCTCAGATCCAGGAGTGACCGCACGTCCTGCTTTTATCCACTTTTAAACGTGCTTATTGCGAGCGTACAAGTCGCCCATCAGTACATTTGCGTAGAACATAAAGAGCTCGAAGGGTAGCACCATTTAATATTTCAACTTCAAGCTCGTTTACGGCTTCATGATAAGCTAGAAAATGTCTTGAATTTAAACCTACGATGTCACGTTCAGGTGAAACTTTCAAATCCTGTCATCTTTTGCTATTCTCTTTAAAATTAAAGCGTTATCTGCTTTAAATGTATAAATTGTCGAATTCGCTATTTGTTGACATTAGTCATTGAGGCATTACGGGTACATGCGAACATAATTGGGTTGCCCACAGAGATGATGCGATAGATTACCTTAGCTCGCAAGGGGATCACGACTTCAATATCCAGGAAAATTACTTTCTTTTGGTAGTAACTTATTTGATCGGAAGCCACGTCAAACCGTTTTACTGCTCCACCAAATGCCAAGATCGCTTTCAAAGCGATCGCACAAATTATAGTTTTCAACAAGAATATGTTCCCTGACGTCGCTATTCGCTGTAACCCTACCTGTTGTATCTTGATGCGTGTGGTAGTTTTTCGCAATTCTGTTATTGCCACGAGATGTAACGGGGTGAATCGTTACATAACAATTTATAAGAAATTGTTAATAGAATATAACTATAAGAGTTATATTCTCAGAATATTGTCATAAGGACAAATATTCTGTTGCACTTACAAGTAGTTTCTAATTGGTTGATATAGGCCATTATATCAACCAACGAAGACGCGCCACGACAGACGCACGCAATGAGTGGTGAGCAGATAACTGATTTACACATTTGTATTTAGACATAGTTAGATGAAGATAAATAGTGATTTATTGCAGACATTAACTATTATAAATACAGTTCTACTTTTTACTCTAACCAAGTACTCGCTTCTTCTTACCGTCTTCCTCTGCACGTACGAGTGTACGTGAAGTTACGAGGCACCGCCTTATTCTGTTATCAGAATAAGTAGCTTGTACTGTCACCAGTACAAGCTTCAGGGTGCCCCGTTACACCTGGTAGCACTTCGTAGTCCGTCCAAGGACCGCGTTCACATCCAACATGAATATGTTGGATGATGAAGATGACCAAAGCTTTCACGCTACGCGTGACGGCTACTCCCATTTGAGCGATGTCGAATGGGATGCGGTTGAACGAATGGGTTCAACCATGGGCATCCATGCTGTTAGCGTCATGCTAGAGGCTCTCAATAGAGATGCCCAACATGCTACTATCGCCAAGTTCATTCAAAATGAACTTGACGCAGAACGCGAGAAAGTAGCCTTGCTTCACCAACAAGGTTCTCAACAAGCAGAGTTGTTGAGAGAACAAGGTGATCAACAGTTTGAACTGTTGAGACAGCAGCAGGCTGCTGCTGGCGGGTCGATGCACTCGCGTCGACCCGAGACTTTGAAGATTGACATCTCAAAGTATAGGGGGGTCGAAGAAGACTCTCTCTTGAGATGGTTCGTCGAATTGGATGACGCCATAAGGGCGCGTCGCATCGACGACGGGGATATGCAAGTTGCATTTGCCCAGTCAAATCTGGCAGGATGTGCCAAGCCTTGGGCACTGGGGCTCAAGTTGCACGACCCATATGCGTTTGGGTCGTTGGAAGTCTTCAAGTCGCGGCTCAGACAAACGTTTGTGCCGCCTGGAGCTGAGTTCAGAGCTCGAACCGAACTCTTGAAGCTCAAACAGGGTAATCGTGATGTTCACGCTTACGCGCAACATATACGACATCTTACGAGTTGTATAAGTTCCAATCCGGTGGATGAACACACGTTGGTTTCGGTGTTCATGCAGGGTCTTGCGGATGGTCCCGTCAAGACTCACCTGTTCCGGCTTGAACTAGATTTACTAGAACAAGCCATTTCCATTGCGGAGCAGGAAGACTTCAGTCTGAGACAGGCTCGCGCCAGCTCGACATCATATCGTCAACCGAGACGATATGACAGCGGAGGTCCAGAGCCGATGGAACTCTGTTATGTAGAGAGCGAGAAGGCTCGCTCTACAGGCTACAAGAAGTTGCAGAGATGCAACAGATGTCAAAAGACAGGACACTACGCTTACGAGTGTAGTGCCCCTCGTCCAGTGTCTCGCAACACTGGGCGTAGTGACCGTCCACCCATGAGAAAGGGGCAGGGACGAGGGTCCGCAGTTGGTGCAAAGACGCAACAACGGGATGGACCGTCAAAAAACGGACAGGATCAGTAGGTGCGGAGCACCCTACTGATCCAGCAACGTCAAGAGAATTTGTAGGCCTCTTGATGAAGGTTGCTCCCAACACACAGACGTTGTGCGTTGCTGCTCTAGGTAATGAGATCTCACTCATTACCTTGAAACTCGAAGTGACGAATAAGTTGTCCCTTCGAGCTCTAGTCGATTGTGGGGCGTCCAACAATTTTGTGCGACGCCAATCGCTAGAAGATGGTCACTTTAAATTCAGTGAATGTGACACACCTCCTACGAGGATGACGGTACGTCTTGCGACAGGCGCATCCGTAACCGTCATGAAGCATATAGTGAAGATTCACTATACGCTAGAAGGTACCCAATATGACGATGACTTTATCGTATTGGATTTGGATGACAAATTTGATGTCATCCTTGGAATACCGTGGCTCAGAAGGTACGAACCACGGGTAAACTGGCAACATCGGACAGTAACGATGCCTGCCGCTTGTTCATCAGATGGCCATCTGATGAACGTTTTGGAGCGTCCACAAGCGTGTGGATGTACTACGAGTGAATGCGAGGGGTTTCTTTGGTGGTGGGGTTGTTAGTACGACTGCACAAAACCTTAGTGTACCAAACGGTTACACTTCGGAGCAAAGTTCCGGCGGTGTGAGGAAAAGTTCCGGCGGCTGTGAGGAAACACAGGCTGCGCCGAAGGTCCACCACTCGAATAAGTCGGGTGGACTGGGACAAAGATGTATTCCTAGCGGGGAACATCTAGAAGAGAAACAATCGATCGCTCAGGTTAAGCGAAACGATAATCCTAGATCGACTGGAGAGTCTTTCGTAGAGGATCTCGCTGTGGTTGCGCAACCACAGCTAGAGGAAGTAAAGGGAATAAGTCCCGATATTACAAATACGGCGGAAATAAGTTCCCCGAAACCCGCGGGAATAAGTCCCCGGGAAGCCGAAGGAATAAGTCCTTCGAAGCCTGAGGGAATAAGTCCCCAGGAAATGACAGAGACATTGAATGTAGTAGTCAATGACGGATCAAGTGCAGGCGCTTATACACTTGATCTGATTGCGCCTCCGAAGTTAACTTCGGAGATCACTCAGTTGCCAACGCTCGAACATAAAAGGTTCTTGCGTGATCTGCGTAGTGGAAAAGTCAAGCAGATCTGCATACTCGTCGCTGACGACGAGTGTGTAACCGACATAAGGTCAGCAACAGTGTTCACTGAGAACGAGAGAGTTCTCAGTAGCTCATCTATGGACGAGAGTGTCCTAGATGAAAAGACACGAGTTAACGAATATGACTCCCAATCGTTGGAATCGCTCAAGACAAATCCTCTCTATGAAGATTTGGTTGAATTCAAGGATGTATTACCCGAAACTGTTCCGTGCGAATTACCGAAGGATAAAGGTATTCGACACGAGGTCGAGCTTAAACCAGGCTCGAAGTACTGTGTCATGAAGCAGTGGCCACTGCCTCGTGAACAAATACTTGCGATCGACAAGTTCTTTGCCGATCGTTTAGCTGCGGGCCATGTGAGGGAATCAACTTCCCCACATAGCTCTCCGACCTTCTGTGTGCGAAAAGCAACAGGAGGGTGGCGGATAGTGCACGCGTTCAACAAATTGAACGCTGCAACGGTACCGGCTCAGACGCCGATACCGAGGAAGGACGTAATCATTGATGGTATGTCAAAGAGTACCATCTTTTCGTCCATGGATTTGATGGATGGCTTCTATCAAATCCTAATGCGGGAACGGGATATACCCTATACCGCAGTTAGCACGCCTAGCGGCATGCTCTGGGAATGGCTAGTAATGCCACAAGGGCTCAGTAATGCCCCTGCCACGTTCAACAGATGTGTATCACATCTGTTGAGGCCAGTACGAGAATTCGCGCCGAGTTATTTCGATGACGTATTCATCCATAGTCGAGCTATGGATGGAAAGTCGGACGTTGAGGTTCACAGGTACCACGTCCGACAAGTTCTTACAATCATGCGAAAGCATCAATTGTATGCTAACCTCAAGAAGTGTATATTTGCAGCAAGCGAAATACCACTTCTTGGGTGCATCGTTGGTAAGAACGGTGTACGTCCTGATCCCGAAAAGATCAAGGCGATCACCGACTAGCCTTTGCCGGTTGATGTCAAAGGTCTTCGAAAATTCCTTGGGCTAGCGGCGTATTTGCATAAGTATTCACGCAATTACGCCGAGATGACTGTGCACCTCTCTCGTTTATTGAAAAAGAACGAGAGGTGGTCATGGAACGCCGAATGTCAGCGCTCCTTTGATAGTATCAAGCAGAGCTTGATACAATCCCCAGTCCTAGCAATAGCCGATCAGGACAGGTCATTTCATGTGGTCTGTGATGCCAGCGATTGCGCAATCGGCTGTGCATTAATGCAGTACGATCTTGAAGGCGTTGAACGCGTCGTCTGCTATCAGTCGCGTCAGCTGTAACCAGCTGAGCGGAACTATCCAGTGCATGACAAGGAACTCCTTGCCATGAAGAATGCACTCGCGAAGTTCAGAGTCTATCTATTAGGAGATAGACCCATCATAGTTTACACTGACCATGCGTCATTACGCACGGCAGTGAACAGCCCGCACCTTTCACAACGAATGGCGCGGTGGTTGTCATTCTTTGCAGAATACAACTTCACGGTCGAGTACAAACTAGGACGACTTAATGTCGTCGCTGATGCACTCTCACGTCGGCCCAACTTTGAAACAGTCGTGAAACCCAACAGTGAGACAGTCACTGTTGCGGTTATGACGTCCTCAGTCCCATCTACAACGTTGTATGATGATATGAAGCGGGCATACGCCCAAGATGGTGAGATTGTGGATTTGTTAACACATCTCTCACAGCCATCTCGAGAATCGTTGAAACGATTGTCGTCTGCGTATCGATCTGCATCAGACCGATACACTACTCGTAACGGTTTACTGTATTATACAGCCGTTTCTGGTGACACACCACGTGTTGTCATTCCAGATGATACTGATCTGCGTTTGCGGATCATGTTCGAGTATCACGATGCTCCTATAGGAGGACATCGTGGCCGAGAGAAAACATATCTCACGGTAAGTCGATACTTTTACTGGCCCCGCCAGTATCAGTTTGTGCGAAAGTATGTTCGCGCATGCGAAGTCTGCCAACGAGTGAAGTCAAGTCCTTCACTTCGTGCACCTTTACAGCCTCTACAGGTTCCGGCTGAGTGCTGGGAATCTATCTCAATGTATTCGTCTTCGGTTTACCCAAAGACGCACGCGGGAATACGGGTATTCTCGTGTTTGTTGACAGTTTCAGCAAAATGGTACACCTTGTGGCTGTACCAGAGACAATCACGGCAAGTGGCTGTGCTTGTGTCTTTATTGACACCATCTTCCGACTTCATGGGTTGCCCCGTGAGCTCGTATCAGACAGAGATCCACGATTCACTGCTGATTTCTGGCGTTCCGTGTTCAAATCACTCGGAACGTGCTTGAACATGTCAACATCTGATCATCCAGAGTCAGATGTCAGACGGAACGTGCCAATCGTGTCCTTGAAGAGATACTTCGAGGATACGTACACTCCTTTAAGTGTTGGGGTGAGTTTTTGCCAATGGTAGAGTTTGCCATTAACAACTTCATGCGTCCACGACACATACACCGTTTTACGTGAATGGCTTGCGCCATCCGCGTGTCCCCACCTTACTAGAGTGTAACTCTGGTTTAAGGGGGGGGAGGGACTCGCGCGAGCAAAAACCGATTTGGTTCACGCTCATCACGCTCTGACGAAGAAGTCATTGCGTTTGATGCCGATATCGATTACATCGATATCGAAGAAGATGATGCCAGTGAGAGTGCGGAAGCCCTCACTGAAGACAATGATCCCAGCGAGAGTGCGGAAGCCCTCACTGAAGAAAAGGTTGTTGTTGCTGCAGTGCGCTCACAGCACACTGAAGCTAACGAGTCATCAGATGAGTTCATACTGGCTCGTGAAACGGTAGTCCGTTTTGTGCAAGACTCCATCGCCGAAGCGGTGGATAAGCAAAAGCAAAACGCTGACAAGAATGGAAGGGCAAACACTCTTTTATTCAATGAAGGTGACTTAGTCCTACTGTCTACGGCTAATCTATTAAAGCATGTAGTGACTAACTTGCGTAGCAGTAAACTACTACCCAAGTACATTGGCCCTTTTCGTGTCTTGCACCGCCTAGGTAATGCATACACGATCGAGTTACCACGTAAGATGCGAACGCATCCCACGTTTTACGTTGGTCGGCTTAAGCCGTACCATCAGTACGCTGCTTCTTCCGATGAAGAACGCCCTTGCGCTCAAGCATCTCGCAGAGAGCCTTGTGCTCCCGATGGTGGGCATCAACAAGGGTCTGAAGAGCAGTTATCTCAGCCCGAGACCGATCAACAATCCCACGAGCTACCCTTAGCTCGTCACGAAGAGATGTCAGAGATCTCTCGTTCTCAAGCTGAGCAAAGGCAAACTCAGCTCGGTGCTTCGAGGCAGTGTCCGCCATCTGGAGACGCCTATTCCGCTCATGCTCGAGATCGTCGCGTAACCCTTGCGTTACGCGATCAAAGAAGCTCTCGGGAACACACCGATCCACATGATCGTGTGGAGAGCGTCTTCTCTCCTCCTCCACCTCCATTAGAGGACTCTCGCGGTGGCCAGCGCTATCTAGTTGAGCAGCTGTTAAACCACCGCGACGTGAACGGACGTCGGACGAGTTATCTCGTCCGGTGGCGCGGCTATCCCCCGTCCTGGGATGCTCGGGAGCCCCGCTCCCAACTGATGATTGACGTACTGGGTCTGGTTGAGCAGTACGACGCGGCACATCCTGTGCCGCAGAAGGACCGCCGGAGAAAGTCTTCCCGGCACGGTCGTAAAGGGATTTCAGGTTGTCAATCCCTTCGTACATCTCAGTAGAGACACGTACGCGCCACCACGGGCTGGTAAGGAGGTAAGCCTCCTTAGGTGCTCGTGCAGAGTTGTTCACACAACATGGGCACGGGTCTCCCCAAGAGAGGCAGGGTAATCCTTTCTCCCTTGACAGACGATGCAGCTTGTAGCGTGCACCTGTCGGGGTTCGCTTTTCAAACTTATCACGAGCTTTGATAAGTTTGTCGTTCCAAGCGTCACGACCTACATCCTCAAGGTTATGGATGTAGGCGTTCCACGCCTGAAGTAGTGAGGGACCATCACGTTTGTGATTCCCACTGTACCATCGATGTCTAAAGAAAGCATCGATGAAGAATTCGTGTTCAGCGCGATAGTTTTTCGCGCTGGGGTCAAGGTGATGGATCCTTGATGAATCGAACAATCGTGTTCGATAACGATCACTCGTCGTCGCCGACAAGTGATCCATGACGGATTTAGGAGGCATCCATGCCTTCTTTTCTGGAGCGAGACGCAACACATTGCGGTTCCGCTCTTCCTGCGACGTGCCGACAGAAGTACTGGCACCTCGCTGTGAAGTGGTGTCCATAGGAGAACCGACACCACTATTAGCGCCCGAGTCTCGCGACCTCGAGCGCCTTCGCTTCGGCGATGGTTCATCTGATTCGTCAGATGATCCAAAGATGCTGCGACGCATAGCATCGTCCATGCCACGCTTGGCAGGCGGCTTGGATTCAATTGCCGTCGATACGGATCCGTCATCCGTATCAGGAGAGTACGAGACACCGAGCTCGTACTCTGTGAAGACACGAGTGTCTTCATGACCAGCGCCTGCGTCACCAAGTGACACAGGCTGGGTCGCTTCAGCAACCGATGGGACATCAGTTGCTGTTGTTTCTGCTTCGGCGTCCGCACAGAGACGTGCAGACGCGCTCTCGGCGGCCTTGCTCGCGCATCGCATGGGCTTGTTAACCATGCGATGAAATGTTGGAAAGTGGACGCGGACCAACAAGTGCAAACTCTGTCCCAAATGATTTGGGACGAGTATCCATTTAGTCAATCAGTCACTAAAGTGACTGATGGTTAAGGGGGGGTGATGTAACGGGGTGAATCGTTACATAACAATTTATAAGAAATTGTTAATAGAATATAACTATAAGAGTTATATTCTCAGAATATTGTCATAAGGACAAATATTCTGTTGCACTTACAAGTAGTTCCTAATTGGTTGATATAGGCCATTGTATCAACCAACGAAGACGCGCCACGACAGACGCACGCAATGAGTGGTGAGCAGATAACTGATTTACACATTTGTATTTAGACATAGTTAGATGAAGATAAATAGTGATTTATTGCAGACATTAACTATTATAAATACAGTTCTACTTTTTAATTTAACCAAGTACTCGCTTCTTCTTACCGTCTTCCTCTGCACGTACGAGTGTACGTGAAGTTACGAGGCACCGCCTTATTCTGTTATCAGAATAAGTAGCTTGTACTGTCACCAGTACAAGCTTCAGGGTGCCCCGTTACACGAGAGCCCTGCTTGCATGAGTACGCCATCAGCAGCACCGGTTTGGATCTAGTGGAACAGGCGTTCAGTTTCAACTTTCTAATAGCAGATAAACATTGAATATATACCGTAGTATATACGATTTCACTACCTCTTATTTCTCGCTTTTCGTACTCCCAGCGCTTATGGAGGCGCTCATGTGCAAATCTAATTGTCTCTCAATGTAGATTTAGTGTAAAATGCTCAATAATTTCGTCCCGCAGTATCCTGTGTTCTCAACTGTCGCGCGCGGGATGGAACGCGGGATAGGTCCATCCCGCCTTATCCTATGCGGGACGGAGCCCTGATCAGAGAAGTACGTCTCTATCCGTCGCCTTACATCAGTTCCCTTTTCAACTGTAGCAAGGTCGCATCAGAGCAAGGAGTCTAATGGAAGCTGGATATCACACAAAATGAGTTCAAGAAACACAACACAGCCACAAATACAAGCTGCAAATGCATTTGATAGCTACCTTCAGTGTCAATTGTGCGGAGCCAAGAAGAAAACGACGAGCTTTAGGGGTGCCGGAGGTTATAAGATGGAATGCCTAAACTCATCACTAACCTCGTGTTCTAACAAGACGATCCGCAAGTGGTAACGAGTTGCAGCACCCAAAAATGGGTAGATGGCGGCAGTCGAAAGCGTATAATCGATGGAATCGAATACGTACTACTTGACGTTATCAATCCTAGAGCGGGTAGGTCACGGGACGTGAAAAGCTCTGCACGCACTACAATTCTAGATCAGCAACCTAAGAATAGCGGGTTTCTTATACGACACCTCAAGCTCCGTGGCACATTTAGCAACTCGATGTGTGCGCTTCTCCTTTCGTACCGAAGAGGCGAGGCAGCACGCTCAACATCAGATACTAAATAACGAAAGGATAAATTCGTCAACACTGTCGACAGCATGCACCACCATACTTTAGCAAAGAGCATTTCGGCGTTCTCAGTGACATCGACCGTGTTGATAAACGAGCGAGTGGTACACTCACAGGATCTACTACAGACTTGCACAGCGATATTACTGCCAAGAATACCTCTTAGCTCACAAATTCCACTCTCTTCACCTCGCACGGGTCTCAAAAAACAACGGACCTCAGATACCATCAAGTCCGTTATCAGTACCGAGAGGATGCTATTCCACTCGAGAATCGTCCAGTAATATCCCGTCGGCGGTCGTCGTCCCTCAAGAGCTCTGAAGATGGGAATCCGAAGTGCCTTATCCGCATCGCTCGCACTGCTCCTCGCAGGGTGCACCCCCCTAACCGCCATCATCTTCCAACTGGATGGCAACGTCGAGGAGTGTTTCCACGAGTACGTGCGCACGAAGCGCACCGCGTACATGAAGATCGGCGTCCTGGAATCCCCAGGCGCCTACGACGTGCGCCTCCGAGCCTTCGGTCCGTTCCCCACATACCCAGAGCAAGAACAAGGACAGGACAAGAACTTCTTCGACCACTTGGTCGTAACGCCGCTCGACGCGGAGAGCCAGAACGTCGAGCACAGCGGCTTCAACTTCGACTCGGAGCACCGGGGAGGATGGTACCGCTTCTGTCTGAGCAACGAGCACGACGGCAATCGGAAGCTGATCGAGTGGTACACGTCATTCGATCTGACGAACGAAGACGATGTGGGTGAGGAGGACAAGCTGGACGCGCAGACGCGACGGGGTACGTGGCGAGCTGAGTGGATCAAGAGAGAGAGCGAGAGAGAGAGGCTGATAATGGACGGAATTGTGTTTTATTTGATGTGGACAGAGCACTTGGAAGGCGTGATGACGTCGCTCGCACGGGTGCAGTCGCTGATGAAGATGATCCGGAATGAACAGGATTACTACCGTGCGCGCGTGCACCGCCACGTTCAGAGTAAGTCGCAAGGCAGTTGCAAGATGTGCTTTTGATGCGCGTGCTTATGCTCGGCTGGTTGTTCTTTGCTGCTCCATTTGCAGCACTTGACAGCAGCGAGACTCGCATTATGTACTACACGGTTTTCGAGCTAGCTGTTCTGGGTGCTATGTATGTTGGGCAGTCCTTCTTGCTGCACAAGTGGTTCAACGATCGCGGCTACCTCTCGAAGCGCCAATGGGCGTGACTGTGTTACTACTGTAGCAAAATGGCAGTGTGGCGGAACCTTGTTGGTTCCTTCGCAGCTGACAGATGTGCGGTAGTCTCTAGAAGCCTGCAATGATGGTCGAAAGGGAATGGCAGGAGGGATGTCCGATACCAAAGCATTAACTGACCTCCAAACACGATTGGAATTGCGCTTGATGAGTGACTAGCCACCCATTCATTCCTCACTCTACGATCTCCATCTCATCAATTATCTCCTGGCATCGTCGCCGGCGCTCCTCGGCAGTATCAGCACTTCCAGCTGCAGACACAGTGACCCGGTATGCCGGGTTACCCGCTCCACTCTCCTCGACCGAGAGATAGAGCACACAATCGTTGTTCCGCGCTGCAGCTGGAATGTAACGATATCTTCCCTTCTCAGCTGTCAAGATGCCTTGAATCGGACTGATGTTCAAAAGCTGTCGCACTCGTGTCAACAGCAGCTTATCTGACACCGCTGCTACTTCACCCGAGCCAGGTGTAGCCGTCTCTTCTCCGCTCACCTCAGCTTCAAAGCTTCCTTGTTGGAAGTACAGCACTCGAAATGGAGAGCGTTTCGTAAGTGTCTGTTGCGTGCCGGGACTGGTGCACTCGAGCTCAAGGAAGCCGGCGACAGGACCGACAACAACGTCACGTAGCGGAGCTTGAAACTGCATCTTCTGCCCGACAGGAAGCGATGCGATCTCCACGGAGAAGAAACTCCTGTCGGCGTCGTGCAGTCGAGCGCTCACTTTGGTCTGCCCCAGTGCAACCTGCGATCGGTTCTCCACTGCAACGGTCAGGCCTTCCCTAACATCGTAGCTCGAGAGCAGAAGCAGGTTCTGCAGCATGACCGACTCCATCGCTTCATTCATCATGCGCATCACTTGTGCGCTCTGGGCTAAACTCTGGTCCACACGCTGCAAGACCGACTCGAAGGACTGATGGAGACCGCCAGCGTAGCTCTCGAGCATTTTCGCCATTTCGTCCATTGGTCTGAACCACCGAATGAATTGCTGTGAGGTAGCGAGATACGTACTGGAAAACCAGATGGGAGGTACACCGCGTCCAACAGTTTGCATAAAGTCAAACGTGAGCTTCAAATTGAGTCAAAGGGACCGTGTTCTAGCAGACCGACTTGGTTAGTTGACTCATCCTTTATTGCAATAGATTACGATCGGATTCTAGTGATGAGGAGCGACCGCTAGGTAGGTAGTTGCCAATACGCAAGTTGAACATTGCTCTACATGGTCCTTGGTTCCCAGTCAACCTTGGACGGACTTATCTGCGACCGTAACCACCACGGCTACCGTCACCATCGCGGACATACGGAGATGGCTCAATGCCTGGCACGCCAAGCAGGCTCATCTTCTTCAGGATTCTCTTGTCAAGCTTGGGCACCTCGTCCAAGCCAATGATGCGGCTGTACTCGGCAGCAAGCTTCACGAGCTCGACCGACTTCAAACGCAGACGCTTTGCATGCGAGTTGTAGAACCCCAGCCACGCTTGGTACGACTGTTGCGCCGACTTTTCCAACGCGTCGTATTTCCTCAGTTCTTTCGTAATCTCCAGCGTGCGCGACTGCGACGACTGGAGCATCTTGGCAGTATGATCTGTGCTTTTAGTAAGAGGCAAGTCGGACAACTTGTGCAACAAAGACGTCTCAAATTCAGCCAAAACGAGCACACCCTTGCCCTTCATACCAGCACGTGCCGTACGGCCGAGGCGGTGGATGTACTGGTCGCGGTCGGTAAGGCCCACTTGGAGCACTAGCGACACATCGGGATAGTCCACACCACGAGCCGACACGTCAGATGAGAACATCATCACCTTGCGACCTTTACGGAATTCTGCAGCCGTCTTCGTGCGTATTCCTTGGCTCTTTCGCGAGTGCATCTCAAGGACACCAGGAAAGCCGGCAGCCTGAAAGAGTTGGGCCATGAACTGCGCCGAGCGAGCTGTCGGGAAGAACAACATCACCTTGTACGCCGGCAGCTTCATGTGCTCCACCAAGACACGCTCCACCATTGGAATCACATCATCCATTGAGCACACAATGTATTCCTGCTCCGTCTGCACGTTCGTGTCTGCCTCGTTCGCATCGATCGTGTCCACAAACATGTAATCCGGACGCAAAGCAACCCGCTTCAACTCCTCGGTCGAAGCTGGTAGTGTCGCACTAAACAGCAGCGTCTGACGTTTCTTCGGCAAGTATTCAATAATCCGCATGACGTCGGGGCGGAAGCCCATGTCCAGCAGCCGATCAGCTTCGTCCAGGATCAGCACACTCGTTTGACCCAGTCGATCAGCAAGCTTGCCAGTGTTCTGCTTCAAATGATCGACCAGACGACCAGGTGTCGCAATCAAAATATCAATCGGTGTGCTGCTCAGGAGCGTGCGCTGGTCCTTCTTGACCGGCGTTCCACCCACAAAGCAGGCGACATGAAAGTCGTGAAACTTCGTGAGACGCTGGGCTTCCATCGCGATCTGCAGTGCCAACTCCCGCGTGGGCGACACGGCAAGTGCAGGAACGACACTCGACCGCCGTCCGTTCTTCACCATGTTCTCAATCACCGGCAGCAGGAAAGCAATCGTCTTGCCATTGCCCGTCTTGGCCTTGGCCAGCACGTCTTTGCCGTCCAGAATGAGGCCAAACGTCTCGTTCTGCACGTTCGTCAGCCGCTCGTACTTGAGGTCTTCCACGATCGCGCGCTTCGTTGGCGCCGAAATGTCCAGCGACGCGAACAGCACGTCCGACAGATAGTCCAAGTTCGTGGCGGGTGAAGTCTCCCCCACAGGAGCTTCGTCTTCTGCAAGAGGCTCGTGCTTCTCCAACTCCGCTCCAGCTTCAGCTTCGTTCGGCCGGAAGGTGTCGCCGGTCTTGGCATTCTGCTTGCCATTGTTGCGCCGTCCACCACGACGCGGTTTCTTCTTCTTGTGCTCGACGTCGCTGTCCTTGCGCTCTCCAGCCGGTGCCTTGCGACGCCAGTGGCCGCTGCTGCTGCTGCTGTTCTTCGTGGCGCTTTCTTGCCCCGACATGACGTGCTCTCGACGGCGCAAATTCGGAAATGCCAAGAGCTCGAGCGGCTCGAGTCGAAACTGACGACGTTTTGGCTCGAGGTTTATCGACCGGTCTGCGTTTATCGCAGCGATCCGAGCGGAGACTTTTGGCAAACGAGTCGCCACCAACCGCCACTGATACTCGGGGACCGAGAGACGTTAACCACTTGGATAGTGTATGGTGCATACACACGTCTAGTCACTGCTTCGTTTGTGTGTACTTTGTGTGCATCTTTCTTCCGCTCGCTCGCTGACACCGTCATGGCGACTGTCGCAGACTCTTTCTTGGAAGACTTGGACGAGCTCAGTGGCGGCGGCGGCAGCAGCGACAGCGCTTCGGACCAGGAGGTTGAGGCAGAGGGTCGGGATCATGACGAGGACGAGGTCATGGACGCAGCGGTTTCCCACAGCGACAGCAGCAAACGCGACCGTGAGGACGCAATCGAGCAGACCAAGCCAGAAGCGAAGACTGAAGCCCTCTCCAAGTCGCTGCATTCACGTGGCAAGAGTCGCAGTGTGGCTGCCGTCGCATCGCTCAAGCGCTCCCACAAGTACTTGGCTCACGTGCAGCAGATCCAGCAGTACGTGGACCTGGACGACGTTGCAGTAGCTGCTGCAAAGCTCCAGCGCCTGGAGGAAGGCAGTACCGAGTACGATCTTGTCGTCACGTCCAATGATCTCATGGTGCAGATTGACGACGATATTGTGGCCGTGCACCGCTTCATTGCGGAGATTTATGCAGCCAAGTTCCCGGAGCTCGACTCGCTCGTGCCGAATGCACTCGACTATGCGCGTGTTGTCAAAGCCGTTGGCAATGAAATGGATCTGACGCTTGTGGACGAACTGCCCAAGCTGCTCCCGAGCTCAGTGGTGATTGGGATCTCCGTGACGGGCTCGGGAACGAGTGGCAAACCACTTGGTGTTGAAGAGCTGAAGATCTGTATGGAAGCTTGTGACGAACTGCTGTCGCTCGAGAAGGACAAGAAGATGATTCTGCGCTTTGTCGAGAGTCGCATGAAGTATTTGGCACCGAACGTGTCACAGCTAGTAGGCACTCGGATTGCAGCGCAGCTCGTTGGACTGGCTGGTGGCGTCGCAGAGCTCGCCCGGATCCCGTCGTGCAATCTGCAAGTACTGGGACAGGAAAAGAAGGTGCTAAGTGGGTTTTCGTCGGCTGCGGCGCTGAAGCATACAGGTGTCGTGTTTTTCACGGATCTCGTGCAGAGCATGCCTCCGTATTTGCGAATGAAGGCATGTCGAGCTGTTGCGGGCAAGTTAGCGTTGATGGCGCGTGTTGATAGCCAACCACATCAGCATGACACGGAAGGCTTGGTGGGTGCGCGCTTTCGCACCGAGCTGGTCACGAAGATGGAAAAGTGGCAAGAACCACAGAAGGCGAAGATGAAAAAGGCATTGCCGATTCCAGACGAAAAGCCAAGCCGTAAGCGTGGTGGAAAGCGCTACCGTAAGATGAAAGAGCGGCTGCAGATGACCGATGTACGGCGTGAGATCAACCGGCAGTCATTTGCTACGGCTGACGAGGAATATGGTGACAACGCCATGGGCATCACGTCCGGTCGGCTCGGTCAGGAAGGATCGGGTAAGTTGCGTATCTTGCGCAAAGAGCAGAAGCAGTCTAGCAAGAAGTTGCGTGCGGCAAGCTATGCAGCATCTTCTGTCAGCAGGCCACCGCTGTCTGGGCTGGCATCGAGCCTTGCTTTCACACCGGTGCAAGGCATTGAGCTCATGAATCCTGAAGCTGCGAAGGCTTGTGTCGCCGAAGCCAATAAGAAATACTTCTCTGCTGCTAGTGGATTTTTCAGCGTTGTCAAGAAACCATGAAACAGATGCAGTGGAGGTCTGTACAATGTGCGAAGGCATTGGATTGCGTGGTTGACCTTTCTTGTCGCGAATGAAGTCGGCGTTTCGAGGCAAGCGTTTGCATGCACAATTTGCCAAAGTGTTGGAAATCGAATTCCTGTGTCAGAGCGTGACGAGCGCGGCACAAGTTGCACGATAGCACATTGTATCGCGCTCCCACCATCACGGGTCGTTTCAAACATGGAGACGTACGCCCCTTCAGAATTTCTGCCAGTTCGCCAGTTGTCATTTACCGGTCCGTCATGGGCCTCTGTACCAACGCCCTTCCTTTGACGAATTCTCTCCATCGAGACTCCCTCATTCATGCAGTGACCACCCACGGTTTGGTACGTTTGACGTGCCACATCGTGTGCACCATGAGACGACTTTTGGCGCCCACAAAGCTACATAATCAGTATTCCCTGGTCGAGCTGGATAAGAGCGGGTAAGCAATTGCCAAGTCGAGCAAGATCATCCACCATGACTCGTTTCCATTTCACATAGTCACCTCGAAGGGGGTTGAACGTCTCCAAAAGACGCAGATTCCAATCGGCCAACTCGCCATCATCATCAATAGCTCTGCGCCCCGCAGGCAACTAGCATTCATGTAGTCCACCATTTTACTCAGAATTTCCACTGCCATCACAACTTATCGAGGCTAGCTAGTCTCATCTATAACAATCCGGACGTGACCACACCATAGCACATCATCGAATTGACGCATTGACAATCACACCAAGAAATGGTGTGACTGTTCACATACCATTTCGTTCGTGTCTTTCTTCTGCTGCGATACAAACAAAGTTAGGAACTAGTCGGTCCACTACTGCACAGCGAAACGGTCTCCACATTTTCTGTAATTTTTGTTCGCGTAGTGAGTGATCTAAGATCATGATCGTGATCTTCCGGATTGTATCGACATGGATCAATAACTGGACATGTCCTACCTGAATGCATTCGCTTGACCAGGCTTGCGTGTCGATTGTACAGTTAACAAATTCTGCGTTGCAAGATTGCGAGAGCCTCTGCTTCCTGTGAACTTTGATGCCGATCGTCGAACCTTCCTCGACAAGTGTGGACCCTGACTGACTGCTGGCTTTTGTGTAAGAAGTAAATGTGCTCAAGGTTGAAAGAGTGAGCCTCACTTCACACAAGCAGCTCTCTCGTTTGCGGTCTGAAGCATGCCAATGCTACACTTGTTTGAATTACATTCACGGAAAGAGCACGAGTATCGATCTTGTCTTTGATTGTTTCGATCCCTCACGTACTGTGAAGATGCGTGAAAAAGTGCGGTCCATCTGCATTCAGCACTTTGGCTGTCATGTTAAATGCTTTTCATCTCACTCTTCCGTTCACACTTGACACTTCGATGCAAACGTTTGTGATTCAGGAAGGTGTCAGTGTTCGTTCGTACTAGTTACCAGCTACTGGGTTTGCTTATTCACGTTGGCATTGAGTAGCAAGAATGCATCGATTGATGGAGGAGAACGTGGTTCAAGGAGGCCGACGAGGGTGAGGCCATATCGACTAGAGCTGTAAAGCACTTTTGAACTCCTAAATGAAATTTCGATACGCGGACGGTCCGCAAGTGGTGGCGAGAACGCTGCACGATCGAGCACGACGCTCTAGCTGAAATGTAACAAGGGAGGTGGTCGAAATCGTATCCCGATGGACTAGAAACTCTACAGCTTGACATGTTCATCAACGCCGACACCGGATGTATGGTTAGCTGTGCACATTCCATCATCAGGGACCGACCTCTCGACTGATGCGGCGAGGAGCACGTAGTTAGTTCCGGTCCATGTTTCACGCGGTAACAATATCCATCCACATTGACCATCTAAGTTACCTGTAACTTTCCGATGTGTCTGCTGCATTGAAAGCGCCTCTATCGTTAACGATGACGCATTTGTTTCCCGCTTGCTTCTTCGTCCTGCTGGGTCGATACAATGGGTGTCACAGCCATTACCTGGAATGACACGCGAGTCTGCTGGCTATAAACCATTCCGTGATTACGGTCTTGTGCGCCGACAGGGCTGTTCGCGTACTCTGAGTTACCAACAATGGGAATCACTTCCGATCACTCCTCTTCCGAGTTTGTACGCTGCACTGCTCCTGCAAGCGCAAAAAGCTGAGCGGTTCAGTATTATCTTTGTTGCTGTAGAAGCTCTTCTTAAATAGCAATGTACACACTATCACGAGTGATCGAGGCTCAACGTGAACGGTAGTGCCAATCTAGAACGCCAATGATGTCAAAGACGTTTCTAAGGACGAGCAGGGGGAAAGCCGAGCACCCGAAAGCTGGAGTGAAAACATCTGAGCAATGACGCTCTTGCTTTTTACAACATCAATCTTAGGGGTGTAGTGGTACAGCACTGACACTGGGACCGGGAGGAACCTGAATCGATACCCGTAGTAGGAGGGTTCGATTACACGACACCGAAGATAGGTTATTATGCAGAAGCCAATTTGCGCCTCGGTGGGTGTTAAGTCGGCTGGATGTCCTACAAGCCAAAAAGCCTCTTAGTGTAATGAGGGCTGCGGGCTCCAAACGAGGTATAGCGTCACTGAACCCGCGGGACACCTCCGGGTGGTCTGAGGAAGCCGCGCGGTATAAATCTCTTGCTTTTTACAGTTGTATCTCAGTTGTTCGGGTATCTATTCAACGCGCAGCGGATATAAAATCTGCTCGGATTTGATATGAATGACTTCGCGCTAGGGTCAAAGACCACTTCACCGGCGCTTTATACGGCTTCGTCGCTTGACTATCGCACCTGATTACACACCAGGTGAGACTGGGAAACTACGTGCTGTCAATCTTAAGATGAACTGATGCTAGAAAAGTACCTCACGTACCAGATCCCCTTCCAAATTTGATAACTTGCGAGAGGCGCAAGAAACTAGAAACCCGGTCACTATCGGTGAAATCTATTCTTACTCGCAGACAATTTTTAAATCAACCGTCACCTAATTTTTGGCGAACTGGTCAGCGCATCTGACACCAGTCGGGAGGATGTAGCTGCTTAACAATCGATGATCGGAAGGATTTTGCAGCAATTGCACAAATCGAAGATATCAGCTGCCAGTGAGGTTGTGTGGGATCCTGAACACGCAGAATGCAATCGCGCCTTACGGTAGAGGTTGAAAAGTATGGAACTGCTTGGACGGTGATCACATGCATGTTAATTTACGAAACATTCATCCTACATCAAGCTATAGAATGTACATATGACAAGTTACACAACGATAAAAGCGAATGCACGGTAATGTGGCAAATTACGCACAATTTGCAAAATGTACGCGAACTGACACGACCCTCTACATCAAGAAGCAACATTAAAGCTGCCTTAACGTGTAGGGCTTAGTGGACTTCTGCTTTTCGAAGCATTCGGAGTTTTCTGAGAACAAGCATCGGGAGAGGGCTGGTTCCAAACTGACGTATCACTACAATGACCTTGCTTTAGTAACCTGAAGCATTGTTTTGTGTTCTTTTGGCTTGCCCACAGCAAGACAATGTAATGAGCTCCCAAGCTCGCGAATGTAAGTAAATCAATCTTGTGCTGGCTGGCTGTAAATTAAGCCGTCATGAAAGTAAGATCGAGTCATTTTGTCACAGCAATACGGAACGCTTACATCACGTTTTGCACAGCTTTGCGATTTTTAGAAACAAAATGGACAAGACGAGGGTCACGTTTGTGATTATTTTGTCCATGCAGTTATTGACCGACGTAATTTATTTAAAGGAGAACAATACAAGCAATTTGCTGCATGTAATCAGCAAAAAGTCCGGATCAATTTTACAGTGGGAAAGGTTAAACGTACCGGTCAAAGGTGAGTCATTCAGGATGCCAGTGGTGGGTCCGGCTTCTTAGAATATGATAGTCTAATCTCACCCTGATATTTTTGAATGATTCTAATTATTCAATTTAATTCAAGTGTTAATGCTTCGTCGGATATCTCTTCGTACTTGCTGTTATGGCGATCACCGGCAGGCTTTGAGCTACGAAGGTAAAGAAGGAGACGCATATAGCAATGACATAACGCACATATAGAACGCCAATGTGGCTATGTGGACGTGGTTAGGTTCTCAGTGTACCCTTAGAAAGTGCTGTAAGCGTGCATGCTATCAAACATTTGTGCCGTTTTTCACTTCCTAGCCGAAAAAAACGCCTGTGAGAGCCCACTGCCGTCGATATTAGCTCGTTTCAGACCCACATTGACGTTGATAGAATTGATATAGGCTGTATTGATGTTATCGTTGTCGTTCTTGTCCATTCCCGGTAAGTGGTCTTAATAGTGACGGCATTACGGTTGGCCGCGTCATTGGCAAACCGTGCAATAATAAACGTTTCGTACACACTTTATGACTCGATCATACACTGCAGTGTTGCTGCCGGGAATGCACTTACAATGATGCTATGCCCTCTGTGACAATTGAAAAATAACGACATGAGAGTAACATGGCATGCATACGTACGCATAAACAGTGCAACGCGCTCCTCAATAGCGTTATCACGTCAACGTAGCCACTAACGTATTGCTTGATAATGCACGTTCAATCGCTGTGCTCGTCCAGCCAGCCAGCGACCGGTACGTTAACCTCCTCCTTTCACAACACAAGACCATCTTTCTGCGACTGTCATGACTGCATATGTGCTTACTCGAACGCAAATCGGAGCACTGCTGATCAGCTGAACGACGACCAAGAAGCTCGGTAATTAAACATCCGCAAACTTGTCCTTGCGGTGAGCGGCACGTATGTATACACAAAACCGGCTTCGGCTGTGTGAAGCGCCTAGCGGTATCGATCACGAAAAAGATTGTGGCGCTGCTTGGCACCGTGGCCAGCCGAGTATTCCATGTACTTCGTTCCATCCGCACCAGAGAGAGCCCCGAGTGACCCCAGCTTCTTCTTCTTCTTACTACCAAGACCCGAGAGCTCCAGGCGCGACAGATCTTCGTCATCGCGGATGGCGGCATTCTCGTCCTTGGCAGCGCTCTCGACATCAGCGCTAAGCACCTCATTTAACAGCGCTCGCTGATCCTCTTTTCGCGTAAACACTCCCTCAAATGACCCTGGTTCAAACAGATCAGTCACCACCTTGAACGTGTAGCCCTGATCCACGAGATACTGCTGCCGCTTATTTGAATAGTACATCTCATGCGTGTCCGTGGAAATGAGCGTGTAGAAGAAAGCATTGAATCCGCCGGTAGCATTGGCCTTGGGACGTAAAATACGCCCTAGGCGTTGTGCTTCCTGTCGCCGCGAGCCAAAGTGCGACGACACTTGTATGATCACATTTGCCTCTGGCAAATCAATGGATGTGTCGCCAACCTTCGAGATGCAAATGACGTTAACCAGAGGCGAACTTCGGAAAGACTGCAACAGACGCATGCGCTCACGCTCTCCGGTACCACCGTAGATGTAGCCTTTATTGAGCTTCGTCGCGTAGAGGCGTAGCGCGAACACATCGTCGGAAAAGAGCAATATCTTGTCACCGCGCTCTTCGTGATACTGGATGAGGAACTCGGCGGCAGTGAACTTGTTCGGGTTTGCAACATAGAGGAGCGCGCGCTTGCGTGCACTTTTTGTCTCCCGCAGGTATTCGCGGTAGAATTCTCCAGCCATGGGGCACCACACTTCTACGCATGATACGTTCGCTAGGAACCCGCTTTGCGTCAAATCCATCCAGTTGGCTTCGTACAACTTTGGGCCGATCAGGAAATTCAAGTCGCCGATCAGATCGTCCTCGCGCACGAGGGTGGCCGTTAAGCCAAGTTTGCAATGACACGCAATCGAGCCAATAACCTTGCGGAACATCTTAGCGGGCACGACATGCACCTCATCCAGCAAAATGCATCCCCACTCACGACCCTGAATGAGTTGCATAACCTCTTCTGACGCGCGAGCGCGACGTCCGCCGAAAGCAACCATCGTGTAGGTCGTCACAATCACTCCAGAGTCAGGATCGATATAGTCCTTCGCAACTGAGGTGAAGCGTGCAATCTTCTTTTCCGAGATGTTTGTCCACATCTTAAACTGTGCGGTCCACTGTTCGACAGACACAGCTGACGTACAAAGGCACAGACACGACTTCTTGATCGTAGAAGCAGCTGTGACGCCCGTAAGTGTCTTGCCTGCACCGCACGGCAGCACAATGATACCCGATCGAGCCCGGCCGTTACCAAACATCTTGCTCAGTGACTTTTCCTGGTACTCACGAATGCGCGTCGACGGCTTTAGGTCCATCTCCAGGTCTGGAATCATCTTATCATTACGAAAATCGTACTCTTCCATGAGCGGGTAGTCCAAATCCAGACAGGCCCGCTTGACTTGCTCCACCATCTTCTTCCGGATCTTGAACGACACTGTGCGCACCGTCTTTTGCTGCGCGCCCATTGTTTTGTCCGACTCTTGGTCATCAGCCATCGTGTAGTCTTCGTTCAGCAGCTTCTGGTACTGCAGATTCGCCTGGTCTTCTGCAGAAACGTCCTTCTGGATAAACTCACTCGCAGCTTCTGCTTGACTCGCCCCAGGCGCCACAGCTTCGGTCGCCTCCTTCACCCGCGCCGCTCGAATGTGCTCATGTTCGAGCAACTTCCGCAGCACGTCCGGGTACAGACTCTCGACGTAGAACTCATTGTGGTGCAGCACGAGCTTCGCCTTGCCATAGCTGAGCGTGCACTCCTGAATGAACGCCACAATGCCCGGCGGCACTCGGTTCTTCGCCAGTCGCTCCAGGACTTTCAAGATGCTCTCCGTCTCAATAGCGACCGACACGGCGGCATACAGCGAGTACGGCGTGAGCTTGTACTCGTGCACGAACTCGGGGCGGGACACGGGCTCGGCAATGGCGACCAGGAAGTCGTACGCTTGCTTGTAAATGGGCGAAAAGGCCTCGAGGAACAGGCGGCCGTTCGGACAGACCCAGACCGGCCGCGCGTCGTGGTCCGGCTTGAGCTCGAGCGTGGAAAAGTCATAGTAGCCAGCACCAGCCGCCGCACCAGCCGCCGAACCTTCGCCGCCTGCGGTTTGCTGCGCCACCTCGTTGAGCTTCTGGAGCCGGTTCTGGATCCGCCGGGACAAGTTACTCGAGGCGCCGACGCTGTCCGCCGACTGCTGGACGCCACCAGCTGCCTCGTCTGTCGCCATGTACTCGAGGAGGTCCTCGCCGATGGACCCGTTGTAGTCTTCAGCGAGCGACTTGCGCTTCGGCCGCGGCTTCTGCGCGCCTTTAGAGGAGCTGCTCATGGGGCGACGTTATCACGAATGAGAGGGTGGTGAAGATGGAATGGGGGGAGGTCGATATCAAGAATGAAAGGGTGGCGAAGATGGAGGGGGGGGGCTTCCGAACTCGACTTTTTACGGAACGCCCTCGCGAGCTGTCGGTCTGCTACTTTCCTGATCCTAAATTTGAATCAAGTTCGTGCCGGGTGGTCTCTTACTACAGCCACTATCGATAATGGATTGGACTGTTGTGTTTGAGATCAACGTTGTGCTTGCACGGTACGTCCTACCAGTCGTCACCGTTGCGTGCATCGTCGATGTGATCTACTTTTTTACTACGCATCATAGTGCTAACATGGTTTCCACTGCAGCAAGCGAGACGGGATAAGTACCTCACCTATCTTCCACTGCTCAGAATAACACCAATTAAATGCAAACTCTTAGCGCACACGCCGCACCTAGGATCCATCACGTATTTGTGGTCATCCTCACGTCACTCAGCGTCTTTTTTGGGTATCGCAAAGTGACATACGTCTCTCATGAGATGAAGCCAAGCTGCACTCGCACCACTTCTGGCTCTGCAGCATTGCAGTTAGTGTGACAAAAGGTGTCACTTGTTTTTTTTTATCAAAAAGTTGACTCCTTTACAAACTGATTGATGTGATGTACGACGGTGGGCTCGAAGCCGCAAAAGTAATGGTGTACCCGCTCAGAGCTCGTACTGATTCCGTCTGTATACCACAAAGTGTGGGGTCGATTTTGTCCCACGATCATACTGCACTGAGTTGTTTTCTCGGTTCAGTCTGGAATGTGTGTTTGTCAACTACGAGTACACGAGATGGGGGTGCGCATGCAGCATTCAGCACATGTGTGCTAGCATTGAAAACAGGTCGGCGGATGTAGATGTACCGGGAAATGCTACTTTGACAGCTTGTCAGACTATAAAACCTATCGGATAAAGTTTTATCGGAGGGAGCACAGTTGATGGGTCGGCTATCTAACCCTTACTACATACTCCGGATAGCCCCTTCCCATATCGCGCAGCGATGCGCATAGGCTACATGGCTTGCCCTGGATGATTGGACAATACGTAAACAGAATTACGGACCTTTCTTCATCCAGTTTTTGTCACCAGCGATAAGCTGCAGCGATTGTCGCATTGGCGTGTACGTCAAAGACGTACGCTTCCCATTGTTCGACTAGGAACTTCTTCGAGTTCGACTTTTCATCGTGGCCGGCACAACTACTGAGATGAGACACGATGACCAGGATTGACTGTAGCGCTGTCTGAGTCAGTAGACATGATGAATGTCTAGTGGCGATGAATGATGTGGTAGACTTTTCACCATTGATGAATATCAACATTTCAGATCAAGCGGACGCTAAAAAAACCTGCTTGCCAATTTGCGGTCGTATCAATGCATGGATATGCTAGACATTTGACAAGCATCTTAAGAGTCGGTTTGGACCAACCGCCATTAGGAGTATGAGTATAAAGCAATACCGAAAGTGACTCGAGCGAACATTAGAGCTCCAGCCTGCGAGTGAGTGTGCAACGGAATCGAAAACTATAGTGAAAAGAGCCGTGCAACACAAGGCGCAACTCGAGGACTCTCTTGATCTGGATGTCAGTATTAACGAATCAACTTCAATGTGACCTGGTGCACAAGTTCATACAATCAAAGTTGTGTAGCTAGCCTTACCCAATGCAAGCATCTACCGCATCACTACGCACCGCAGTTGAGTCGTGCAATTAGAGTGTAGATCGCTTACCATGATGAAAGCATTTCCATTGGACGTGTTGTTCCAGGCCGTCATTCGGTGGCGTAGCTACTGCGTTTCGGATCCAAGGTCCTAGACGTGGAGCGACGTTCCGTTTGCTCCTTCTTCGAACACCATAGCTTGTACCCAAATCGAAAAATGTCACGTCTGCCAAGCGCGAGATATAGCCAGAAGGTAGTCATTCTGGCTGGTAATGCCCACAAAAGAACGGCCGAGATCCTGTCCGGCGGATGCTACTCTGAGCATTTACATGGACCGCTAGTGGCTGCATTGCACCATCTCTTATGTGGGCAAATGGGGTGTCAGATGCCGAAAGCCCCGTCGTGTTTTCTGTGCAGTCGAAGATTGTCGCAACAGAATCCAACGACGCATCGACTAAATTGTTCCGTAAATTTGTTTTGGTGCAAAAGTAATACGTCGTCCGCGATACTCCTCTTGCGCTGATTTACGTCCCCGTGGCAAGAAACGTCCGGGCTTCGTCAGTCTCCATGGTACATTTCGAATCTTTGGACTTACTAGCTTCCACCGAATCGAAGGCCCAGTGATCTTCCGAACGTTCCGTAGTCTACGCTCACCTACATTGCTGCTTCCGTCGAACATGACAGCGCTTCTTACTTTCACCCGAATTATCCAGAAATTTGCACATCGCTAAATCGTAGCTGGTGGTTTCTTCTGTAAATGATGTGAGGTTACGATGATATGCTGGTATATAAAGTGCGACGCCGCAGGGGTGTCTTGCGATAGATTGACGTTGTCCAGACCACGCTGGACACGACAGACGAGCGAATACAGATCCACCACTCGCTATCGTTGCGGCCGACGAAAAATAGATACGTGAAGTAACGTAATCTGCGCCTCTATACCATTGCGCTACGTAGAACGCTGTGTAGCAAGTCAAGATTGTGTAGGGTAATGACCACTTTCACTCAGCATTGATGGTAGATTACATGCACTCTTCTTGACGAAGACGATCCAGCTCATGTAATAGGGTGTTTGCCCCCCCCCACATGTTCGATAGGGTGATAATGGGTCGCGAAAACGGCAGGTGTTAGCAATGGTAGTAGTACACGTGGTAGGAGTGGCATATTCAGCAGATGTCTGAGTAGACTTGAAGTAGGAGACATAATATGGAAGATGTAAACGTCGAACGACGAATCTTTTTCGTCGTCGTACATGTTCTGTTATGACGACGAGTGATCGTCATTACTGTACGACCGAATGAAGACACCAGAGAAAGCTATCACATGCTGGCTTGTTTGCGATGACAGTAATGTAGCTGCTGCATCCATTTACAAAATGGCTAAATGGCACTTGATTTCTTTGTCATCAGATGGGTGGTAAGTGCTACAGGTATCCTTGAGATCCTTATGCAGTAAGCAGACGCATAAACCCTGTACGGCGCTGGCAAATACAGTCCATCCTTCTCAGTCTCAATATATAAAACTCGGACACCTCACGACCTGCGGTACGCACTCTTGCCGCATAGACTCGAGCGGTTTATTTCGCACAAAGGTGCGCGAATGCTCGATAAGTCCACATGATTCCATCGTGGACTCGCCTCGTTCTTTAAACACCGCAACAGAAGCATACGATAGTTAACACATGGTCTTAACCTTCAGTTCCTTGTTCCCTATCTCGATCGAAACAGCAGCGGTGGTTTGCACTTCCACAAGACTACCTCGCAACAATCGGACTCATGAGAGCCGGCACACTGACGATACGAGAACCACGTGTTCTTGCTACGGTACCACGTGCGCTTTCGTTGACAGCTGACTTTCGACAATCGTACGGCTACGCGGCCGCCGTGACTTTTTGTCGATTCAGAACCACAGGTCCGGATCGTCAGAAGACACTTTTGACATCAGGGGCAGCTCACCAACGTGATATTGCTGCTACGGGCATGGAATGCAACGTGGACTTGCAGCGAAAACCGATTCACTTCTACCGGTCGCACCGTAGGTTGCGCCGATGTCGGAAGCATTGGCGCAAGATCGAAAGCTTCATCGTCTCTTCGGCTCGCGTGTTTGCTTACCTCGAGTGACGGCACCTCTTTTTTGCGAGTTGCGCTGGAGCGCTATGCATCCAGCCTGTCTACCTCTAGAGCTTTAGCACACTCAACCAGACATGTGCATGGTCATGCATGTGTTCTTCCACTGGCGTTCGATGCTTTCGGTTCAAGGTCCCTTCTACTGCCTCACAGACGATACGGCAGCATCAACTTAGAGCCGTATGCTGCACCTACACGCAAACCATCGAAACGCCGGCTGTACCACCTGTTCGTAGTGAGGTGACTGCAGCCAATAACACTGGTGGTGGAAGGGCGATGACGCCTTTTCTTCCGAGGTGGACCCTGTGATATCCGTCCACCAATCCGACCTACGAGTCCCGCCACGATGACTACCGTTGCACCTTGTCATAACGGAACGCTTCTCTCATTGGCCACGCGCATTCGAACGAGGCATAACCTGCGTTTATGCCATAAAAAGGAAGACTAAGACAAGAGCAGGCCAGCGTTACGTCGCGTGGTGTACGTCACCCGCTGTCAGGACGATCTCGGTGCACGTGGCAGCAGCTGCCCAATCAGAGCTCACGGTTGCTCCAGCCCGAAGCTGGCCAAAACGAGATCAGTCCGGCTCAAATGATGATACAGAAGACTGTTCTCGACGCGTAGGCTCCGTGTGAGTGGCCCCACTTTAGCCATTGCAGGTACCGGCAATGACGCTTTTCAAGCTAGCAAGATCGATGGATTTTTTACGCCATCTCTGCAGTCAGGTAGATCAACTAGTTGAATGGCCGCCCAGCTTTTTGTCACGAATGGACAAGGAAGAGTGAGAGTGAACGTCATAATGATGAGGCTACAACCTGTTGCCGTGCTCGCCAGTTCGGAAATAACGACCAGTTCGGTTCGATCCATTTTGAGCCAATGGGCGCTCGAACCAAGTCCAGTCGTACCTTTCAACGCGGTGACGAGACCATACATGCCTGAGGCTTTGATGCCGCGTGGAATAGGGGAGTCGGTCAAATGGTCAAATCGAGCACCTGCGATGGCCGACGCCGCCCCTGGTCCATTCTCGAATCTGCCTCCTCACTGGCACTTCAAACTCCTCTCTCCCATCTCCTGCGACTTCTCGTCCCCTCCCGTCCTCTCTCGGACCCATGTGGGTATTTGGCTACGGATCGATCGTCTGGAAGACCGACTTCCCGGCAGAGGACACGCTGTTCGGCTACGTCGAAGGCTGGCACCGCCGCTTCTGGCAAGGCAGCCCCGACCACCGCGGCTCGCCCGACGCCAAAGGCCGCGTCGTCACACTCATTAGCTGCGAGCAAATGAAGAAGTTTGATGACGAGTACGCGCACTTGGCAGGCGACCACATCACGTGGGGTCGCCTCTACAAAGTGCCGGTCGAGGAGGTTCAGGACACGCTGACCAAGCTCGACAACCGCGAGCAGGCCGGCTATGACCGCCAAATGGTCGACGTCCACTGCGTCGACGGCGTCGTTCGCAAGGCGCTCGTCTACATTGCTACGCCTAGTAACGTCGACTTCCTCGGTCCGTCGTCCGTGAACGCGATGGCAAAGGAGATTGCTACTCGACGAGGCTTTAGCGGGCCCAACTTCGAGTACCTCTTCAAGCTCTGCGACTGCATGCGAGCTCTGCAGGTCTGCGATCCGCATCTCTTTGCGCTGGAGAAGGCCACGCGGGAGTACACGACGGCCATTCACTGGAGCTCGAGTCGGGCGGAGTGTGGCGTCCAGTGAGTTCGAACCTGCGCCGACACGGTGCATGTAAATTATTTCAATAGACGCAATCCGATCTCCATGTTCGTCGACGATGATAGCGTCATTCTCGTCTCGAGCACCAACCCTCGCCCGCAATGTACTCTATTTCACACGCCGCGATGTTAGCTGTTTCTAACGACGATGTATTCGCTGGTGGGTTTCTGCACGACACACGATCACTCCTCCTGCTTTACTAGAGCGTTCAATTGAGCTCGCAACGGGTCAGCAACTCTTTCTCTGCACGACAAACAAGTCGGAAGAGTGACTGGGGACGAACACCTGAGACTTCAACACTGGTTTTCAGTCTTCAACAGCTGCAGGTAGAAACATACCAGTCACCAGAGAACCCCCGACATAGACGAATCCAGCTGTCCTTACAAACTAGTTGTAGTCTCGTCAACAGCGGGAGCTGTGCACATAGAAATCTTATCCTCATTTGGAAAATCATATCCCGGACCTTTACACTGCCGCGAAGTAAGAGCGCAACTCACTCGTTGACATTGCTACAATCAATACCTGTAAAAAAGCGTCATGCAGTAGCCACCATCGCTCGTCTGCCCTCGAGTTTTGTCAACGCCCTATACCAGCAAAGGCGTCAATATCAATAGACTTGCTCGGTTCATTCTGATGGCTGGTTGCAACACTTGCTGGGTTCAGGAGCTGTGTAATGTCGTTGTTGTAATTCCCATTGCCCATGCTACTAGACAAGGAAGAATGCTGTCCCGTAGAGAACCCACAGACCCCTGGTTGATGCTGCTGCATTGCTATCGTTCCTCCCATCGATGCACTCGTTCCCACCATCGGACGCTGCTGCTGCTGGAACCCCAAAACTTGCTTTGCATTGCTAATGCCCATTTGATGAGTTAGTTGCTGCTGGTAGCTGCCAGTATTCGGACCGCCACACGGGTGTGTGTTCATGATTGCAACAGGTTTGGGCACAGCGGGCGGCGCAACAGAAGCGAATGGGTCAACAGATGTTGCTGGCTTGGGAACAACACTCATCAATGGAGCTTGATGCTGCTGCTGTTGCTGGCAGGCGGCCGGAGCGGCTGCGTCCTTGTTCGACGACATCTTAGCCTGAGCATACAGCACTCAACAATGAGATCCTGCACGACCAATAAGCTCAAACTACAAGCGGCATCATACTTACACGTGCTAAAGGGTCGAAAATCAGCGACTGCGCCGATACACTGATACTAGGACCAAAGTCGTCAATCAAATTGATCTCGGGCCGCTTCTCAGGCTTCAATGCAGCTCTAACCGGTGCAACCGACTTCGTTTCCAACGAGGCACCTCGAGTTTGCTGCAACGTGTGCGGTCCACTCTTGTATCCGGAATAGCTGCTGGTGTGTCCAGAGGTGTTTCGATACAGGCCACTCACACACTGCAGCTGGCCCGGTGTAGGGGATTTGCTTGCATAAGAGTTTGGCAAATTGCAAGTTCCAATTTCTCGAGAACTGCCCGTAGGCGACCAACTGTGTCGCTCAGACTCGTTTTGCGACTCTGAAGGAGTAGCTCCACCAGGTCCCCAATGTTGCGTCCCGTAGGTATCTACATAAAACCATCACAACTTCTTAGACATCACGACGGCCAATGCCTTGTAGCACACACATCCATTCAATCATCGATGGACCGTACTTCCCGAAGAACTGTTTGGCTGAGCATAAGGAGCTGTAGCAAGTGCGTGCTTTTTGCGACGATAGACATCCCAGCGACGAAACGGAATTCGATTCACGACAAAATCTGGACACCCAAACAACCAGCAGACATTTTCAGTATCGTTCCCCCCCTTTTAACAGCTTGAAATGACTGCCTACCATATTTCGGAACGTCCGCCGACTCCACTTCACTGATACGGACTTCCATCGCCATTCGGAGACCGTCCAGAATCATCGTAAAGCACCAATTTCCCACCATTTTCTGCAATTCACCGCCAAAACCTCAACCACTAAATCATCTCCAGCTCTTCCAACTTCATCCGATCGAATCACTAGATCGACTTACCGTTGACGAGAAATGCACTTGACGGCCATCGTACTGCACCAGCTACAGCATCCTCATTCCAATAAAAGCCCCGTGAATCATCAATTGCACTAAGTACGACTACACCACCCAATATTGTTCAGTTTACAGCTCTGTACCTTTTTGTGGCTCATGACCGAGTGAACCAGCACCACTTCGTGTATCCGGTCGGACTCGCCCAGGGTAAAACGCCACGTCACGCGCTTCTTAGTCGACGCCAGCATCTCGCCCAGATGCTGCTCTTCATGAAGCACGCGCTTGGGTATACCACACTCCAAAGGGTCTGGAGTGGACGTGTAGATGCGCGTGATGTTGCCCGAATACATGGCGTTGATGGAGGAGGAGGAGGAGCAGCTACAGTGGCACGGGGGAGACGGCGACGTTTTACGTTTTTTTTGGCCACGTCGGACTCGATACGTTCCGTCTTTTTTTACAGCACTGTATTTGCTCCTTTAGGGCGGAACGCATGTAATTAAAACGTTTGGTGGACTCGGTTGCGTAATTATGGTACGATAACGGGCACAAAATATGTGACGTGTGAGCGATTCACCTACACAAACAAAACAGCGAGCGACTTTGTGTATTCCTGACAATTGACACCCAGAGTCGTTGACTTAAAGACTTGCATTACTGAACCCTTTTTTTCTTTGGGTAGTTAGTTGCGTCTATTAAAACTTCAAGCCCAGGCCAAGCTGGGCGCGCTTGATGTTATCCTGCAGAGCAATAAACAACAGGACTAACGGTTAGTTACGCTGACTACATCCCACAGAGCAAATGATTGATGTGCTTCAAGTCCCTACGTGAGCATGCGCTTTGAGGATCCAAGAGTAGTTGGCCTCGAGGCGGCCGATGCGAGTTCCCCACACAAGCCCCAAGCCAACGGAAACGCGCGTGTCGTGTGCGAGGTTCTTCATCCACTTCTTCTCGTCCAGTAGGCGGTCCCACGTGGTCAGATTACCAACGTTGGCAAAAACCTGCCCGCGGAGTCCTAGCGCCTGGAGCAATATGTAGATGATGGAATCAGTGCACAGGTCAGATCGAATGCCTCCCACCTGATCCAGTTTCTAGGTAGCTTGTCACTTACAGCAAATAGCGGTAGTGGGACGGGAAAGCCCATGCTCGCTGTTCCGCGGTAGCTCACGTCGCCACCAAGAGCGTCACCTTGCACGACTCCACCATCAAGAGGAGACGCACGGGGACCAATACCTTTATGATTGAAGCCTCGCACGTTCATGGGCCCGCCTAAAAAGAAACGGTCGCTTATGCGTGCTGGCCGGTCCTGATCACTGCCATACGACTTCAGTGTTCCCAAGTGGTACGAAAGGCTAAAGTTCAGGATCGGGAATCCAAACACTTCGGGGCCTGCTGCCATGTGCTTCTGGCCTTCCACTTCTGCCTTGACAAACTTGACATCACCCACAAGGCCAGCAATTTCTGTCCTGAGCGCGTGACAAAATTTACGATTATTGGAACAATTGTTGACGCAAGCAGATAAACACATCGCCGCACTTACGTGTACTTAAACAGCCCTCCAGCAACTGGATACACAATGTTGTCGCGGTTGTCGTCGGTAAAGACATACTTCACGCTCGTTTTCGTAGACGGCATTGCCTCTGCAAGAATACTAGGTGATGCGCGGTACGCCGTCGGGATTTTTGAGTCGCGGCGCGGAAGCAGGTCACGCCAGCCAACGTTCAACGACAGTTCATGCACACCATCGTAGTCGCTGACGGAAATGCTACCGGCACGGACCTTCTCGTTATACGAGCTTAGCCACTCTTGGTTCTGCAACAGCAACATTCAGCAAAAACAAGTGGATGCATCGATGAGTCCTGTCAGGCGACACACATCTGGGAGCGAAGCAAAAGCCAACTTGGCTACGTACATGCATCTCATTGGCTCCCGTGGCACTTAAGAACAGCGGCAGACCCAGAAAACGCGGCTTCTTGAACGTCGCGCGCTGCGTGTTACTTCCCGAGCGAGCGTACGAAGCACTCAATGTAATCTTCTCTGCTTCTCCAAACGCATTCGCCAACGTAAGAGAAGATTCCTACGAAAAGTACCGAATCCAATCAAACAATAAGGACACGTGCTTTCCAGCTTGGTATCATATCCACAACGTACGCCTGCTTCATCGTTGCCGTCCGTGGTAGCACCAACATGCAGAGACCTCCAGTTTTTCTCCTTGACCGTAATAATCACGTCCGTCTCATCTCGCTGCCCAGAACTCGCTAAAAGATCAGCACAAAAAGCTCAATCAGCCCGTCGATATCCACGTCTATCATCGACAAAAGATCCAAACCCATTCACGCACTCACCCTTGTCCAGATCAATACTGATCGACTCGAAAATATCAAGAGCCTTGAGCTCCTCCGTTGCTGCCTCCAGCTTGTGCACCAATTGACCGATACGTTCGGCATCGTACGCTTCCTACAGCTCCAATTGACGTCATCAACCGGTCACTTGCGTCACCCGCATGCCACTTCAAAGCGCCTTTTATGCGCTACAATAAACCAGTACCTGGAGCTCATTTTCAAACACTTGAGGCCTGTATAGAAAGATACGCCGCAATCAATTGTCAGAGGTTAGAAGTCAGACAAAAAGACAGCGGACAGAAGACGACGAGCGAGCGAGCGAGCAGCTGTCGAGACGGAGACGCACTTGGTGCGCTCGTTTCCCTTGATGAAGACCTTGCCGATGTGCACGCGTGGCCCCCACGGATGCTGCGGCTCAGGCTCGGCCTTGGGCGTCTCGCTCGCCATCGCTTGGGTACTTGGCTGGACAGGGATGAATAATGACATATGTCACTAAAGTATCGATCGACTGAGGCCTGATTTCAGGGCTCCCGCCGCCGACAAGTGGTCTTTTATTGGATTTAGAAGGTTATAAAATCTGGTATGAGGTTTTCAGATCAGGTGTTCACTTAGCTCGCTTTTATGGCCGCTGATGTAAAATCTGGAAGTTAGAGGCAGAATGGGCATTACTACTTTGACGACGGATTTCGGTTATTGTGTCGAGCTCGTTTTTAGCACCATTGGATGCACATCAAACACCTGTTGTCATTGAATCGGATTCGTTTGGAAGGAAACTTACGTATACACAAGTCGAGGGTGAACGGGTGCTGGGTGCGTTGCGAATTTCAAGTTGAGTATCGCGAAGAACTCTGTAAGAAGCTGGGTAACCCTCTCGGGAATATCCCGAGCGACAACATCACGTAGGGTCTAGAAATGTTAGTCCTGGCAAACATGTCTGCGATGGGTGCCACAAGACTAATTGTTTGTCACACGTTTTCTTCCGTCCTCCACTGCGTAATATGTCGTTTCCAGAAATGTCATCTTTGGTCAGATGCGGCTGATCGCTATCGTCCTCTTCGTTATGAGTTTAAGCTCTAGAAGCGGATTGAAAGTCCGGACACGCAGCTAGTTGAACCTGTATATTACCAACTACACTGTCTTGTTCTTCGCCTCTTTAATACCCTTCTACTATTTACATTCCCCCAGTCTACGTATCATCTAAAGAAGCAGGAAACTGAGCACATATGCATGTGGGTTGAAGCTGTCTAATAATAGTGGTGGACAAGATCTAATCCAGACCGCTACCGACCAGCGAGTGGCATTAATCGGACCATTTTGAATACTTGCCAATATCCCCAAGCTTGTGATCGCATTCTGTAGATTCCAGCAGCACTAGTTCGCTGAATGTCGAACAGATGCCGGCATCCACCAACTTGAACTCGGCCATTATATGTAAAATTGACATACCTTTGGAAGTGACAAGCTGCACTTCATCCGTGGTACGCGACGGCGTATTGCCACGTATAATGGCATACTACAAAACTTCAGCATCAACAAAACAAGCACAAATTCATGGAGACAAGAAGGGAGCACGTCATCCAAATGTAGTTATGCGTATCAGCTATTCAAGAACATGCAGGTACAGTACCTTGTTTGCAGTTTGCAGATCAGTAGTCGGGTTTCGGTCTTGTTCTGGAAGATTTTGGCTTGCTCTTGTTATGTCGTTCCTGTGTTCGCCGCCATCGGATATATTTAAATAGACCAAGGCTGCGTTATTCTATTTCACTGCATAATCTCCGACCATCGAGTCAATCACTTATTGGAGGGAGTCGTGCGGTCTAGTTCGTGTTTGATGCACTAAACGAACCTATTCATCACCAGTTTGTCCAGAGCAGACCAAAGAATCCGTCACAAAAGAGCCATGACAAGTGTATGGCGTCGACTGCAGCTCCGACTTGCAGGCACGACACCTGCTCGGCGGTTCCAGGTCCGTCGTACCTTTTCGCGGTTTCAATTCATCCATCGCGTTATAATTGGTCACGAAATTGCTGTTTTTGTGGGGGTTGTTGATGATGTGTAGGAAGAGGCGGACGTGGGTGTCGCTGCAGTCCTGAGCTGCTTCCGGAGCTTGAAACTTGATGCACGGAACTATGATAAGTACGAGCAGCTCCGATGCTAAAAACAATAGGGAGTTCATATCGAAGTTGTTGTGGTGTTGTTACTGGGTTGGCTGACGCCGTAGGGACAACGAAAAGCTATTTGACCAAGCCGTGGATACCATTGGCACGATGAAGTTCGAGCAGCAAAAGCAGTTTGTGCAAGACGAGGTTGCGAAGCAGGTGTGTGTGAAAAGGATTGGAGTGTCGATATTTGGACTCAGACTTCGTCACATGTCGTCTCGTTGGTGGGCTGTCGATAGGTTCAGACCTGTTTCGAGGCTGTATTGAAGATGCCCAAGGAGTCTGAGAATAAAGCGTCTAAGATGTCCCTGTCAGGATTTCAGCGCGATAATGAAGTGGCAGAGAAGGTAAACTGGTTATGTGTATTTGTCATGGATCACAGTTGTTTCTAAGCGAATGCGTGTGATTGCCGGTTAGCTTAAACTTTCTGACAACTTCCAACAAGTCTTCGGATTCACCTTGAATGTGGAAGAGTCGAGTGTTCCTGATGCCGGCCAAGGTGTCAAGTTACTTGGTCATGCGTCCATAGGATCATTAGTGGTACGTTTGCGACTTGCTGCTGATTGTTTTTGACATTGCACTCAATTCTGTGCACGTCGTACTCATGAAGGCGCTGTATCCCGGCATCGTCTACTTGCCGGAGCATTACAAAAAGGTGCGGGGGATTGTGTTAAGAACTCTGTCTTGCTCTCGTCGCTCATTTCGTTTATGACAGAAACAATACCTAAGCGAGTTATCGAACAACCCGTACGCTCGTGCTCGCTTTGACAGCGTAATTATTGACGCCAAGAATGAGCGTAAGGGTTTTGTTTGCTGCTGTGCTTATCGCCAAACAAGGAGCTCTTTTGCTAACATAGAGCGTGCCAACACAGCGTCAGTTCCGCGTAATCCACTTGCCGTTGCTCACAAGATCAATCATCCTCCCAGCGGAACACTCCCCAATGTCGTTGGCTTTGCCTTTGAGTTCCCTCCAGAAGGTTTGACGATGAAGAATCGATCGCTAATGAACAATCTTGGCTGAAATTGATGTGATGTTGACCAACTAATCCCTACTTATGTGTTTAACTGTCAGGACCATTTGCTGCGAAGAAATTCGACGAGCTGATTCCGAACAGTTTTGTCAAAGAACCTTCGCGCCTCTCCATGTTCGGCAAACGTGCTATCGTGCATGTATGTTTCAGTAGCCGGGTTGGTGTTCTGCTGGGCATGTATACACTAAGTCTTCATTCTTATCATGCATGACAGGGCCTTGCTTTCATCGCAACGGCAGATATTGCAGACGGAGAAGAGCTGTTTCTCAATTATCGGTGCGTCTTCCGATTGTGGTCAATATGTAGTGCTCAACCCGACTGATCGCTCATCTTGAACGCTCCACCAGCTACAATCCCGATCGTCCGCTTCCTGGATGGTACACAGCTGTCGACGTCGATAGTGATCGCGCAATGTGGAAATAGCCTGCGAGATTACCAGCACCAGTCTTGACGATTCTCAACGACAAGGGGATGTATTAATGTGCTTACGTGCGAGTTTAAAGCGGAATACAGCAACAAAGCGTCTCCACCAGACGGATTACGTCCGAGGAGCCTCGACTGACGAATGCAGCTGAAGCTTACAGCTTGTAGGCTCTTCAACTGTGCTCACTTGGGAAACTCTGCATTGTTGGACAGAATGATGCCGACGATGACGCCAAAAATGCCGAGCGCACTGGCAAAAATCTCCACGATCAAAATTGTCACGTATAGCGCTGCGTTCTGCGCGTCCGCAAGTACGCAGCTGCTACCAGCGATACCGACGGAGACCCTGGATCAAGCAAGTCGTACAAGTTAGAGCATGGTGACATATCGACATCTCTGACACCATCCATGTCACGTCAACAGCTCGTACCCGCTAGCAAGATTCGTCAAACCCACTGCGATTCCCGACCCAAAGACCGCGTAGCCAGCAAAGTACAGCGCGTGTTCGTTGATCCCTTCATCTCCCTCATTGCGCAGTCCAGGCTGGTTCATCTACTCAAAGAGTATGCAGGCAATGTCAGCAAACACGCCCAAAACATGTCCCACCGTTGCCATTTCCACCACGCATCAGCACGCCGCACCTTGCTCTGCAATATGATTGCAATGATGACGCCGTAGATCGCAGTGGCTTCACAGAAGATGATGCTCACGAGGTTCTTGGACCGCACCCGCGGGGCCTTCACAGCAGCTCCCAGGAGACTCGATCCTGTGATGAAGATACCCCTATAGTCCACAGTGTAATACCCCACCCCCGACCATGAATCAGTCTCTCTCTATCTCCGCTTCTTGGCAACACTTGGTAGCAGCTGCTGAGCACGCACCAAGCGGCTCCAACAATGGAAAAGGTCAAGCCAAAGGCGACGCCCATATTACCCCATGCATACGGCGAGATGTTACTCAGCACGTCGCCCCAACCTATTGGAACAGCAAATGGAGGAGCTGGAATTAGAATATCCAGAAAAGGTCGTTCTTGTATAATCCCCTGATCTTTGCGCAGCGACAACTAGGATCCAGAGACTGCCGTTACTGCTACTTGTATATAAAAGATGACAGTCATCTTCCTCTCGCACGTGCCTTGGTTGAACAACTCGTCGGTAGCGGCGCTCATGTGGAGGATCGTGTGTTGTTTGTCAAGGCGCTTTTTGGTACTGGAACAGACACGATGCCAAATAGCAAAAATAGTCACTCGTACTTGAGTGTGAGTGTCAAATGACACGTCTCTGTTACAGCTAAATGTTGATCGAAAGTGGGCGCCGACTCTGATCGAAAGAGCATTCGTCTACACAAAGGAAGTCGCTCGTACACGTGGTCACTTCAAGTCATAGACGGGACAAATGCTTTAGGCGCAACATACGTAGGATGCAGCGGAGCTACACAGCTCCTTAAGTCAGAGGAAGACTGTTTGCTTACGAGCAACTAAGTTCGAAAGAACTAACGACTCTACGAGTCAACAAGCTTTACAGCTTCAGGTCCCTGTTCCAGGTAGCCTAACGATTCAGTGAATCGACAGCACTCAGTGCTCAAGAGTAGCTACCTAAAGGAGGTGTTGCTAACTCTTAGTGATCAGTGATCAACGATCAAGGCGGCTCGCAAGCCACGTGTGTAACGGGGTGAATCGTTACATAACAATTTGTAAGAAATTGTTAATAGAATATAACTATAAGAGTTATATTCTCAGAATATTGTCATAAGGACGAATATTCTGTAACACTTACGAGTAGTTCCTAATTGGTTGATATAGGCCATTATATCAACCAACGAAGACGCGCCACGACAGACGCACGCAATGAGTGGTGAGCAGATAGTTGATTTACACATTTGTATTCAGACACAGTTAGATGAAGATAAATAGTGATATATTGCAGACATTAACTATTGTAAATACAATTCTACTTTTTACTTTAACCAAGTACTCGCTTCTTCTTACCGTTTTCCTCTGCACGTACGAGTGTACGTGAAGTTCCGAGGCACCGCCTGATTCTGTCATCAGAATAAGTAGCTTGTACTGTTACCAGTACAAGCTTCAGGGTGCCCCGTTACACCTGGTAGCACTTCGTAGTCCGTCCAAGGACCACGTTCACATCTAACATGAATATGTTGGATGATGAAGATGACCAAAGCTTCACGCTACGCGTGACGGCTACTCTTATTTGAGCGATGTCGAATGGGATGCGGTTGAACGGATGGGTTCAACCATGGGCATCCATGCTGTTAACGTCATGCTAGAGGCTCTCAATAGAGATGCCCAACATGCTACTATCACCAAGTTCATTCAAAATGAACTTGACACAGAACGCGAGAAAGTAGGCCTTGCTTCACCAACAAGGTTCTCGGCAAGCAGAGTTGTTGAGAGAACAGGGTGCTCAACAGTTTGAACTGTTGAGACAGCATCAGGCTGCTGCTGGCGGTTCGATGCACTCGCGTCGATTCGAGACCTTGAAGATTGACATCTCCAAGTATAGGGGAGTCGAAGAAGACTCCCTCTTGAGATGGTTTGTCGAATTGGATGACGCCATAAGGGCGCGTCGCATCGACGACGGGGATATGCAAGTTGCATTTGCCCAGTCAAATCTGGCAGGACGTGCCAAGACTTGGGATTTGGGACTCAAGCTGCACAACCCATATGCGTTTGGGTCGTTGGAAGACTTCAAGTAGCGGCTCAGACAAACGTTTGAACCGCCTAGAGCTGAGTTCAGAGCTCGAACCGAACTCTTGAAGCTCAAGCAGGGTAAGCGTGATGTGCACGCTTACGCGCAACATATACGACATCTCACGAGTTGTATAAGTTCCAACCCGGTGGATGAACGCACGTTGGTTTCGGTGTTCATGCAGGGTCTTGCAGATGGTCCCGTCAAGACTCACCTGTTCCGACTTGAACTAGATTCACTAGAACAAGCCATTTCCATTGCGGAACAGGAAGACTTCAGTCTGAGACAGGCTCGCGCCAGCTCGACATCATATCGTCAACCGAGACGATATGACAGCGGAGGTCCAGAGCCGATGGAACTCTGTTATGTAGAGAGCGAGAAGGCTCACTCTACAGACTACAAGAAGTTGCAGAAATGCAACAGATGTCAAAAGACAGGACACTACGCTTACGAGTGTAGTGCCCCTCGTCCAGTGTCTCGCAACACTGGGCGTAGTGACCGTCCACCCATGAGAAAGGGGCAGGAACGCGGGTCTGCTGTTGGCGCAAAGACGCAACAACGGGATGGACCGTCAAAAATGGACAGGATCAGTAGGTGCGGAGCACCCTACTGGTCCAGCAACGTCAAGAGAATTTGTAGACCTCTTGATGAAGGTTGCTCCCAACACACAAACGTTGTGCGTTGCTGCTCTAGGTAATGAGATCTCACTCATTACCTTGAAACTCGAAGTGACGAATAAGTTTTCCCTTCGAGCTCTAGTCGATTGTGGGGCGTCCAACAATTTTGTGCGACGCCAATCGCTAGAATATGGTCACTTTAAGTTCAGTGAATGTGACACACCTCCTACGAGGATGACGGTACGTCTTGCGACAGGTGCATCCGTACCGTCATGAAGCGTATAGTGAAGATCCACTATACGCTAGAAGATACCCAATATGACGATGACTTTATCGTATTGGATTTGGATGACAAATTTGATGTCATCCTTGAAATACCGTGGCTCAGAAGGTACGAACCACGGGTAAACTGGCAACATCGAACAGTAACGATGCCTGCCGCTTGTTCGTCAGATGGCCATCTGATGAACGTTTTGGAGCGTCCACAAGCGTGTGGATGTACTACGAGTGAGTGCGATGGCCTCACTTGTGGTACGGTCGTTAGTACGACTGCACAAAACCTTAGTGTACCAAACGGTTACACTTCGGAGCAAAGTTCCGGCGGCTGTGAGGAAAACACAGGCTGCGCCGAAGGTCCACCGCTCGAATAAGTCGAGTGGACCGGGACAAAGATGTATCCCTAGCGGGGAACATCTAGAAGAGAAACAATCGATCGCTCAGGTTAAGCGAAACGATAATCCTAGATCGACCGGAGAGTCTTTCGTAGAGGATCTCGCTGTGGTTGCGCAACCCCAGCTAGAGGAAGTAAAGGGAATAAGTCCCGATATTACAAATACGGCGGAAACAAGTTCCCCGAAACCCGAGGGAATAAGTCCCCGAGAAGCCGAAGGAATAATTCCTTCGAGGCCTGAGGGAATAAGTCCCCAGGAAATGATAGAGACATTGAATGTCATAGTCAATGACGGATCAAGTGTAGGTGCTTATACACTTGACCTGATTGCGCCTCCGAAGTTAACTTCGGAGATCACTCAGTTGCCAACGCTCGAACGTAAAAGGTTCTTGCGTGATCTGCGTAGTGGCAAAGTCAAGCAGATCTGCGTACTCGTCGCTGACGACGAGTGTGTAGCCGACATAAGGTCAGCAACAGTGTTTACTGAGAACGAGAGAGTTCTCAGTAGTTCATCTATGGACGAGAGTGTCCTAGATGAAACGACACGAATTGAGCGATATGACTCCCAATCGTGGGATCGCTCAAGACAAATCCTCTCTATGAAGATTTGGTTGAATTCAAGGATGTATTCCCTGAAACTGTTCCGTGCGAATTACCGAAGGATAAAGGTATTCGACACGAGGTCGAGCTTAAACCAGGCTCGAAGTACTGTGTCATGAAGCAGTGGCCACTGCTTCGTGAATAAGCACTTGCGATCGACAAGTTCTTTGCCGATCGTTTAGCTGCGGGCCATGTGAGGGAATCAACTTCCCCACATAGCTCTCCGACCTTCTGTGTGCGAAAAGCAACAGGAGGGTGGTGGATAGTGCACGCGTTCAACAAATTGAACGCTGCAACGGTACCGGCTCAGACGCCGATACCGAGGAAGGACGTAATCATTAATGGTATGTCAAAGAGTACCATCTTTTCGTCCATGGATTTGATGGATGGCTTCTATCAAATCCTTATGCGAGAACGGGATATACCCTATACCGCAGTTAGCACGCCTAGCGGCATGCTCTGTGAGTGGCTAGTAATGCCACAAGGGCTTAGTAATTCCCCTGCCACGTTCAACAGATGTGTATCACATCTGTTGAGACCAGTACGAGAATTCGCGCCGAGTTATTTCGATGACGTATTCATCCATAGTCGGGCTATGGATGGAAAGTCGGAGGTTGAGGTTCACAGATACCACGTCCGACAGGTTCTTACAATCGTGCGAAAGCATCAATTGTATGCAAACCTCAAGAAGTGTATATTTGCAGCAAGCGAAATACCACTTCTTGGGTGCATCGTTGGTAAGAACGGTGTACGTCCTTATCCCGAAAAGATCAAGGCCATCACCGACTGGCCTGTGCCGGTTGATGTCAAAGGTCTTCGTAAATTCCTTGGGCTAGCGGCGTATTTGCATAAGTATTCACGCAATTACGCCGAGATGACTGTGCACCTCTCTCGTTTGTTGAAAAAGTACGAGAGGTGGTTATGGAACGCTGAATGTCAGCGCTCCTTTGATGGTATCAAGCAGAGTTTGATACAATCCCCAGTACTAGCAATAGTCGATCAGGACAGGCCATTTCATGTGGTCTGTGATGCCAGCGATTTCGCAATCGGCTGTGCATTAATGCAGTACGATCTTGAAGGCGTTGAACGCGTCGTCTGCTATCAGTCGCGTCAGCTGTAACCAGCTGAGCGGAACTATCCAGTGCATGACAAGGAAATCCTTGCCATGAAGTATGCACTCACGAAGTTCAGAGTCTATCTATTGGGAGATAGACCCTTCATTGTTTACACTGACCATGCGTCATTACGCACGGCAGTGAACAGCCCACACCTTTCACAAAGAATGGCGCGGTGGTTGTCATTCTTTGCAGAATACAACTTTACGGTCGAGTACAAACCAGGACGACTCAATGTCGTCGCTGATGCACTCTCACGTCGTCCCGACTTTGAACCAGTCGTGAAACCCAACAGTGAGACAGTCACTGTTGCGGTTATGACGTCCTCAGTCCCATCTACAAAGTTGTATGATGATGTGAGGCGGGCATATGCCCAAGATGGTGAGGTTGTGGAGTTGTTAACACATCTCTCACAGCCATCTCGAGAATCGTTGAAACGATTGTCGTCTGCGTATCGATCTGCATCAGATCGATACACTACTCGCAACGGATTACTGTATTATACAGCCGTTTCTGGCGACACACCACGTGTTGTCATTCTAGATGATACTGATCTGCGTTTGCGGATCATGTTCGAGTATCACGATGCTCCTATAGGAGGACATCGTGGCCGGGAGAAAACGTATCTCACGGTGAGTCGAGACTTTTACTGGCCCCGCCAGTATCAGTTTGTGCGAAAGTATGTTCGCGCATGCGAAGTCTGTCAACGAGTGAAGTCAAGTCCTTCACTGCGTGCACCTTTACAGCCTCTACCGGTTCCGGCTGAGTGCTGGGAATCCATCTCAATGGATTTCGTCTTCGGGTTACCCAAAGACGCACGCGGGAATACGGGTATTCTCGTATTTGTTGACAGATTCAGCAAAATGGTACACCTAGTGGCTGTACCAGAGTCAATCACGGCAAGTGGCTGTGCTTGTGTCTTTATTGACACCATCTTCCGACTTCATGGGTTGCCCCGTGAACTCGTATCAGACAGAGATCCACGATTCACTGCTGATTTCTGGCGTTCCGTGTTCGAATCACTCGGAACGCGCTTGAAGATGTCTACATCTGATCATCCAGAGTCCGATGGTCAGACGGAACGTGCCAATCGTGTCCTCGAAGAGATACTTCGAGGATACGTACACTCCTTTAAGAGTTGGAGTGAGTTTTTGCCAATGGTAGAGTTTGCCATTAACAACTCGGTACATGCGTCCACGACACAAACACCGTTTTACGTGAATGGCTTATGCCATCCGCGTGTACCCACCTTACTAGAGTGTAACTCTGGTTTAAGGGGGAGGGACTCGCGCGAGCAAAAACCGATTTGGTTCACGCTCATCACGCTCTGACTAAGAGGTCATTGCGTTTGATGCCGATATCGATAACATCGATATCGAAGAAAATGACGCCAGTGAGAGTGCGGAAGCCCTCCCTGAAGAAAAGGTTGATGTTGCTGCAGTGCGCTCACAGCGCACTGAAGCTAACGAGTCATCAGATGAGTTCATACTGGCTCGTGAAACGGTAGTCCGTTTTGCGTAAGCCTCCATCGCCGAAGCGGTGGATAAGCAAAAGCAAAACGCTGACAAGAATGGAAGGGCAAACACTCTTTTACTTAATAAAGGTGACTTAGTCCTACTGTCTACGGTTAATCTATTAAAGCATGTAGTGACTAACTTGCGTAGCAGTAAACTACTACCCAAGTACATTGGCCCATTTCGTGTATTGCACCGCCTAGGCAATGCATACACGATCGAGTTGCCACGTAAGATGCGAACGCATCCCACGTTTTACGTTGGTCGGCTTAAGCCGTACCATCAGTACGCTGTTTCTTCCGATGAAGAACGCCCTTGCGCTCAAGCATCTCGCAGAGAGCCTTGTGCTCCCGATGGTGGGCATCGACAAGGGTCTGAAGAGCAGTTTACTCATCCCGAGACCGATCAACAATCCCATGAGCTACCCTTAGCTCGTCACGAAGAGATGTCAGAGCTCTCTCGTTCTCAAGCTGAGCAAAGGCAAACTCAGCTCGATGCTTCGAGACAGTGTCCGCCATTTGGAGACGCCTGTCCCGCTCATGTTCGAGATCGTTGCGCAACCCTTGCGTTACGCGATCAAAGAAGCTCTCGGGAACACACGGATCCCCACGGTTGTGTGGAGAGCGTCTTTCCTCCTCCTCAACCTCCATTAGAGGACTCTCGCGGTGGCCAGCGCTATCTAGTTGAGCAGCTGTTGAACCACAGCGACGTGAACGGACGTCGGACGAGTTATCTCGTCCGGTGGCGCGGCTATCCCCAGTCCTGTTATTCTTGGGAGCCCCGCTCCCAACTGATGGTTGACGTACTGGGTCTGGTTGAGCAGTACGACGCGGCACATCCTGTGCCGCAGAAGGACCGCCGGAGAAAGTCTTCCCAACACGGTCGTAAAGGGATTTCAGGTTGTCAATCCCTTCGTACATCTCACTAGAGATACGTACGCGCCACCACGGGCTATTAGGGAGGTAAGCCTCCTTAGGTGCTCGTGCAGAGTTGTTCACACAACATGGGCACGAGTCTCCCCAAGAGAGACAGGGTGATCCTTTCTCCCTTGACAGACGATACAGCTTGTAGCGTGCACCTGTTGGGGTTCGCTTTTCAAACTTATCACGAGCTTTGATAAGTTTGTCGTTCCAAACGTCACGACCTACATCCTCAAGGTTATGGATGTAGGAGTTCCACGCTTGAAGTAGTGAGGGACCATCACTTTTGTGATTCCCACTGTACCATCGATGTCTAAGGAAAGCATCGATGAAGAATTCATTCTCAGCGCGATAGTTCTTCGCACTGGGGTCAAGGTGATGGATCCTTGACGAATCGAACAACCGTGTTCGATAACGATCACTCGTCGTCGCCGACAAGTGATCCATGACAGATTTAGGAGGCATCCATGCCTTCTTCTCAGAAGCGAGATGCAAGACATTGCGGTCCCTCTCTTCCTGCGACGTGCCGACAGAAGGACTGGCACCTCGTTGCGAAGTGGTGTACATAGGAGAACCGACACCACTGTTAGCGCCCGATTCTCGCGACCTCGAGCGCCTTCGCTTCGGCGATGGTTCATCTGATTCATCAGATGAACCAAAGATGCTACGACGCATAGCATCATCCATGCCACGCTTGGCAAGCGGCTTGGATTCGATCGCCGTTGATACGGATCCGTCTTCCGTATCAGGAGAGTATGAGACTCCGTGCTCATACTCTGTGAAGACATGAGTGTCTTCATGACCAGCGCCTGCATCACCAAGTGACACAGGCTGAGTCGCTTCAGCAACCGATGAGACATCTGTTGCTGTGGTTTCTGCTTCGGCGTCCGCACAGAGACGTGCGGACGCGCTCTCGGCGGCCTTGCTCGCGCATCGCATGGGCTTGTTAACCATGCGATGAAATGTTGGAAAGTGGACTCGTACCAACAAGTACAAACCCTGTCCCACTTGATTTGGGACGAGTATCCATTTAGTCAATCAGTCACTAAAGTGACTGATGGTTAGGGGGGGGTGATGTAACGGGGTGAATCGTTACATAACAATTTATAAGACATTGTTAATAGAATATAACTATAAGAGTTATATTCTCAGAATATTGTCATAAGGACGAATATTCTGTAACACTTACGAGTAGTTCCTAATTGGTTGATATAGGCCATCATATCAACCAACGAAGACGCGCCACCACAGACGCACGCAATGAGTGGTGAGCAGATATTTGATTTATACATTTGTATTCAGACACAGTTAGATGAAGATAAATAGTGATATATTGCAGACATTAACTATTGTAAATACAGTTCTACTTTTTACTTTAACCAAGTACTCGCTTCTTCTTACCGTCTTCCTCTGCACGTACGAGTGTACGTGAAGTTCCGAGGCACCGCCTTATTCTGTCATCAGAATAAGTAGCTTGTACTGTTACCAGTACAAGCTTCAGGGTGCCCCTTTACAGTGCTAAGGCGTACGTTGCCGTGAGGTTTACCGTACGCGCACTGTTCTCGCTTAGGACCACAAGTTGGATTGACGTTTTGGTAAACGTCAGTCTGGTGGGGGAGGGTGTATCGGGGATGCACGTAAAAGGGTACTTTGTACCAGGTGTGTCACACACCTGATGGTACCCCTAGGGAGGAAAAATAGAATAGAATATCTTATCGGTTTGCTGGGGTTGACGAGTGTCATCCATAAGGTACGAAAGATCTTCAAGTAGGATTAAGATTTTCTATAAGTTTTAACATTAAATAAAATCAGTTCCCATTTTAATCTAAAAGACACGTTGTAACGGGGCACCCTGAAGCTTGTACTGGTAACAGTACAAGCTACTTATTCTGATGACAGAATAAGGCGGTGCCTCGGAACTTCACGTACACTCGTACGTGCAGAGGGAAGACGGTAAGAAGAAGCGAGTACTTGGTTAAAGTAAAAAGTAGAACTGTATTTATAATAGTTAATGTCTGCAATAAATCACTATTTATCTTCATCTAACTGTGTCTGAATACAAATGTATAAATCAAATATCTGCTCACCACTCATTGCGTGCGTCTGTGGTGGCGTCTTCGTTGGTTGATATGATGGCCTATATCAACCAATTAGGAACTACTCGTAAGTGTTACAGAATATTCGTCCTTATGACAATATTCTGAGAATATAACTCTTATAGTTATATTCTATTAACAATGTCTTATAAATTGTTATGTAACGATTCACCCCGTTACATCACCCCCTTACCATCAGTCACTTTAGTGACTGATTGACTAAATAGATACTCGTCCCAAATCATTTGGGACAGGGTTTGCACTTGTTGGTACGAGTCCACTTTCCAACATTTCATCGCATGGTTAACATGCCCATGCGATGCGCGAGCAAGGCTGCTGAGAGCGCGTCCGCACGTCTCTGTGCGGACGCCGAAGCAGAAACCACAGCAACAGATGTCTCATCGGTTGCTGAAGCGACTCAGCCTGTGTCACTTGGTGATGCAGGCGCTGGTCATGAAGACACTCATGTCTCTTCACAGAGTATGAGCACGGAGTCTCATACTCTCCTGATACGGAAGACGGATCCGTATCAACGGCGATCGAATCCAAGCCGCTTGCCAAGCGTGGCATGGATGATGCTGCGCGTCGTAGCATCTTTGGTTCATCTGATGAATCAGATGAACCATCGCCGAAGCGAAGGCGCTCGAGGTCGCGAGATCGGGCGCCACAGTGGTGTCGGTTCTCCTATGTACACCACTTCGCAACGAGGTGCCAGTCCTTCTGTCGGCACTCGCAGGAAGAGCGGGACCGCAATGTGTTGCGTCTCGCTCCAGAAAAGAAAAGGCATGGATGCCTCCAAAGTCAGTCATGGATCGCTTGTCGGCGACGACAAGTGATCGCTATCGAACACGATTGTTCGATTCATCAGGGATCCATCACCTTGACCCCAGTGCGAAGAACTATCGCGCTGAGAATGAATTCTTCATCGATGCTTTCCTTAGACATCGATGGTACAGTGGGAATCACAAAAGTGATGGTCCCTCACTACTCAAGCGTGGAACTCCTACATCCATAACCTTTGAGGATGTAGGTCGTGACGTTAAACGACAAACTTATCAAAGCTCGTGATAAGTTTGAAAAGCGAACCCCAACAGGTGCACGCTACAAGCTGTATCGTCTGTCAAGGGAGAAAGGATCACCCTGCTCTCCTTGGGGAGACTCGTGCCCATGTTGTGTGAACAACTCTGCACGAGCACCTAAGGAGGCTTACCTCCCTAATAGCCTCGTGGTGGCGCGTACGTACGTCTTTAGTGAGATGTACGAAGGGGATTGACAACCTGAAATCCCTTTACGACCGTGTTGAGAAGATCTTTCTCCGGCGGACCTTCTGCGGCACCAGGATGTGCCGCGTCGTAATGCCCAACCAGACCCAGTACGTCAACCATCAGTTGGGAGCGGGGCTCCCAAGAATAACAGGACTGGGGATAAGCCGCGCCACCGGACGAGATAACTCGTCCGACGTCCGACACGCCGCTGTGGTTCAACAGCCGCTCAACTAGATAGCGCTGGCCACCGCGAGAGTCCTCTAATGGAGGTTGAGGAGGAGGAAAGACGCTCCCACACAACCGTGGGGATCCGTGTGTTCCCGAGAGCTTTCTGATCGCGTAACGCAAGGGTTGCGCAACGATCTCGAACATGAGCGGGACAGGCGTCTCCAAATGGCGGACACTGTCTCGAAGCATCGAGCTGAGTTTGCCTTTGCTTCAGCTTGAGAACGAGAGAGCTCTGACATCTGATAAACGTGACGAGCTAAGGGTAGCTCATGGATTGTTGATCGGTCTCGGGATGAGTAAAATTCTGCTCTTCAGACCCCTGTCGATGCCCACCATCGGGGAGCACGGCTCTCTGCGAGATAGCCTGAGCGCAAGGGCGTTCTTCATCGGAAGAAACAGCGTACTGATGGTACGGCTTAAGCCGACCAACGTAAAAACGTGGGATGCGTTCGCATCTTACGTGGCAAATCGATCGTGTATGCATTGCCTAGGCGGCGTGCAATACGAGGGAAATGGGCCACGTACTTGGGTAGTAGTTTACTGCTACGCAAGTTAGTCACTACATGCTTTAATAGATTAACCGTAGACAGTAGGACCAAGTCACCTTTATTAAGTAAAAGAGTGTTTGCCCTTCCATTCTTGCAGCGTTTTGCTTTTTATCCACCGCTTCGGCGATGGAGGCTTACGCAAAACGGACTACCTGTTTCACGAGCCAGTATGAACTCATCTGATGACTCGTTAGCTCAGTGCGCTGTGAGCGCACTGCAGCTACATCAACCTTTTCTTCAGGGAGGCTTCCGCCCTCTCACTGGCGTCATTTTCTTCGATATCGATGTTATCGATATCGGCATCAAACGCAATGACCCCTTAGTCAGCGTGATGAGCGTGAACCAAATCGGGCTTTTTGCCCGCGCGAGTCCCCTCACCCTTAAACCAGAGTTACACTCTAGTAAGGTGGGCACGCAGGATGGCGCCATTCACGTAAAACGGTGTATGTCGTGGACGCGTGTACCGAGTTGTTACTGGCAAACTCTACCATTGGCAAAAACTCACTCCAACTCTTTAAAGGAGTGTACGTATCCTCGAAGTATCTCTTCGAGGACACGACTGGCACGTTCCTCTGACCATCGGACTCCCGGATGATCAGATGTAGACATCTTCAGCGCGTTCCGAGTGATTCGAACACGGAACGCCAGAAATCAGCAGTGAATCGTGGATCTCTCTTGTCTGATACGAGTTCACGGGGGCAACCCATGAAGTCGGAAGATGGTGTCAATAAAGACACAAGCACAGCCACTTGCCGTGATTGACTCTGGTACAGCCACTAGGTGTACCATTTTGCTGAATCTGTCAACAAATACGAGAATACCTATTCCCCGTGCGTGCCTTTGGGTAACCCGAAGACGAAATCCATTGAGATGGATTCCCAGCACTCAGCCGGAACCGGTAGAGGCTGTAAAGGTGCACGCAGTGAAGGACTTGACTTCACTCGTTGACAGACTTCGCATGCGCGAACATACTTTCGCACAAACTGATACTGGCGGGGCCAGTAAAAGTCTCGACTCACCGTGAGATACGTTTTCTCCCGGCCACGATGTCCTCCTATAGGAGCATCGTGATACTCGAACATGATCCGCAAACGCAGATCAGTATCATCTAGAATGACAACACGTGGTGTGTCGCCAGAAACGGCTGTATAATACAGTAATCCGTTGCGAGATAGTGTATCGATCTGATGCAGATCGATACGCAGACGACAATCGTTTCAACGATTCTCGAGATGGTTGGGGAGAGATGTGTCAACAACTTCACTATCTCACCATCTTGGGCGTATGCCCGCCTCACCTCATCATACAACGTTGTAGATGGGACTGAGGACGTCATAACCGCAACAGTGACTGTCTCACTGTTGGGTTTCACGACTGGTTCAAAGTCGGGACGACGTGAGAGTGCATCAGCGACGACATTAAGTCGTCCCTGGTTTGTACTCGACCGTAAAGTTGTATTCTGCAAAGAATGACAACCACCGCGCCATTCCTTTGTGAAAGGGTGTGGGCTGTTCACTGCCGTGCGTAATGACGCATGGTCAGTGTAAACAATGAAGGGTCTATCTCCCAATAGATAGACTCTGAACTTCGTGAGTGCATACTTCATGGCAAGGAGTTCCTTGTCATGCACTGATAGTTCCGCTCAGCTGGTTACAGCTGACGCGACTGATAGCAGACGACGCGTTCAACGCCTTCAAGATCGTACTGCATTAATGCACAGCCGATTGCGAAATCGCTGGCATCACAGACCACATGAAATGGCCTGTCCTGATCGACTATTGCTAGTACTGGGGATTGTATCAAACTCTGCTTGATACCATCAAAGGAGCGCTGACATTCAGCGTTCCATAACCACCTCTCGTACTTTTCAACAAACGAGAGAGGTGCACAGTCATCTCGGCGTAATTGCGTGAATACTTATGCAAATACGCCGCTAGCCCAAGGAATTTACGAAGACCTTGACATCAACCGGCACAGGCCAGTCGGTGATGGCCTTGATCTTTTCGGGACAAGGACGTACACCGTTCTTACCAACGATGCACCCAAGAAGTGGTATTTCGCTTGCTGCAAATATACACTTCTTGAGGTTTGCATACAATTGATGCTTTCGCACGATTGTAAGAACCTGTCGGACGTGGTATCTGTGAACCTCAACTTCCGACTTTCCATCCATAGCCCGACTATGGATGAATACGTCATCGAAATAACTCGGCGCGAATTCTCGTACTGGGTCTCAACAGATGTGATACACATCTGTTGAACGTGGCAGGGGAATTACTAAGCCCTTGTGGCATTACTTAGCCACTCACAGAGCATGCCGCTAGGCGTGCTAACTGCGGTATAGGGTATATCCCGTTCTCGCATAAGGATTTGATAGAAGCCATCCATCAAATCCATGGACGAAAAGATGGTACTCTTTGACATACCATCAATGATTACGTCCTTCCTCGGTATCGGCGTCTGAGCCGGTACCGTTGCAGCGTTCAATTTGTTGAACGCGTGCACTATCCACCACCACCCTCCTGTTGCTTTTCGCACACAGAAGGTCGGAGAGCCATGTGGGGAAGTTGATTCCCTCACATGGCCCGCAGCTAAACGATCGGCAAAGAACTTGTCGATCGCAAGTACTTATTCACGAGGCAGTGGCCACTGCTTCATGACACAGTACTTCGAGCCTGGTTTAAGCTCGACCTCGTGTCGAATACCTTTATCCTTCGGTAATTCGCACGGAACAGTTTCAGGGAATACATCCTTGAATTCAACCAAATCTTCATAGAGAGGATTTGTCTTGAGCGATCCCACGATTGGGAGTCATATCGCTCAATTCGTGTCGTTTCATCTAGGACACTCTCGTCCATAGATGAACCACTGAGAACTCTCTCGTTCTCAGTAAACACTGTTGCTGACCTTATGTCGGCTACACACTCGTCGTCAGCGACGAGTACGCAGATCTGCTTGACTTTGCCACTACGCAGATCACGCAAGAACCTTTTTATGTTCGAGCGTTGGCAAACTGAGTGATCTCCGAAGTCAACTTCGGAGGCGCAATCAGATCAAGTGTATAAGCGCCTACACTTGATCCGTTATTGACTATGACATTCAATGTCTCTGTCATTTCCTGGGGACTTATTCCCTCAGGCCTCGAAGAACTTATTCCTTCGGCTTCCCGGGGACTTATTCCCGCGGGTTTCGGGGAACTTATTTCCGCCGTATTTGTAATCTTGGGACTTATTCCCTTTACTTCCTCTAGCTGGGGTTGCGCAACCACAGCGAGATCCTCTACGAAAGACTCTCCAGTCGATCTAGGATTATCGTTCCGCTTAACCTGAGCGATCGATTGTTTCTCTCCTAGATGTTCCCGCTAGGGATACATCTTTGTCCCGGTCCACTCGACTTATTCGAGTGGTGGACCTTCGGCGCAGCCTGTGTTTTCCTCACAGCCGCCGGAACTTTGCTCCGAAGTGTAACCGTTTGGTACACTAAGGTTTCGTGCAGTCGTACTAACGACCGTACCACAAGTGAGGCCATCGCACTCACTCGTAGTACATCCACACGCTTGTGGACGCTCCAAAACGTTCATCAGATGGCCATCTGATGAACAAGCGGCAGGCATCGTTACTGTTCGATGTTGCCAGTTTACCCGTGGTTCGTACCTTCTGAGCCACGGTATTCCAAGGATGACATCAAATTTGTCATCCAAATCCAATACGATAAAGTCATCGTCATATTGGGTATCTTCTAGCGTATAGTGGATCTTCACTATACGCTTCATGACGGTACGGATGCGCCTGTCGC